GCCAGTGGGGCGCAGGACCTCAGGGTACGCCCAACAACAACACCTGTCCATCGCCCTCCCGCGCGCACGTTCTAAACGCCATTGTGTCCTGATGTACGCTGACATTCACACGACACACACACGACACACACACAACACACCCGACAGGCGGTCCTCCTCAGGGCGGCCCGGCTTACCCGCAGCAGGCTGGTGATCGCCAGTCGCCCGCTGGCCCCGCCGCTGGCCCTGTTACCGGCGGCCCCCAGCAGGGCGGATACCCCGCCGGCGGCCCGGCTGGCGGCCCCACTGGCCAGAGTGGCTACCCCGCCGGCGGCCCGGCTGGCGGCCCGCAACAGAGCGGATACCCGGCCGGTGGCCCGGCTGGCGGCCCCACTGGCCAGAGTGGCTACCCCGCTGGTGGCCCGGCTGGCGGCCCTCAGCAGAGCGGCTACCCGGCCGGCGGTGCGGCGGCTGGTGGGCCGACTGGCGGCCCTCAGGGCTATCCTGTCGGTGGCCAGGGCGGCTTCCCGGCCGGCCCGGCTGGCGGCCCTCAGCAGAGCGGATACCCGGCCGGCGGTGCGGCGGCTGGCGGGCCGACTGGCGGGCCTCAGGGCTATCCTGTCGGCGGACCGCAGCAGCAGGGCGGATGGGGCGGACCCCAGCAGCAGCAGGGCGGCGCTCCCCCCGCTGGAGCCGGCTCTCCGCACGGATCCGGCACCGGCTACGCTCCTCTGGGCGGTGGCCCCGCAGGTACGCCTCCTCCCCGCGCCTAGGGCTGCCGACCGAACGACGCTGACGAGGGCGCCGCACGGGCCACACAGTTCCGGCCCAGGGAGACGCGGCGAAGCAGGGCGACAGCAGTGCGGCCGCTGGCGGCCCCACTGGCTCGGGCGGTGCCTCCGGACAGCCGCAGTCGCAGCAGCAGCCGCCGCAGGGCGGATGGGGAGGACCCCAGCAGCAGCAACAGGGCGGCTACCCTCCGCAGCAGGGCGGATGGGGCGGACCTCAGCAACAAGGTGGGCCGCCGCCGCCACACACAACACCGCGCCTTTCTTGACTCACGTTTGCGCGTTCTCCGTGTTGCGCCGGATCACAGGTGGTTGGGGTGGACCCCAGCAGCAGCAGCAGGGCGGCTGGGGCGGTCCTCAGCAACAGTGGGGCGGCCCGCAGCAGCAGCAGGGCGGCTGGGGCGGCGCGCCTCAGCAGCAATGGGGCGGCCAACAGCAGCAGTGGGGCGGCCCGCAGCAGCAGCAGGGCGGATGGGGAGGCGCACCTCAGCAGCAGGGCGGCTGGGGCGGACCTCAGCAGCAATGGGGCGGTCCGCAGCAGCAACAGCAGTGGGGCGGACCTCAGCAGGTGCGTGGTGCATTGCGCGCGGTGGTGCGGTGTGCGTGTGCGGTGTGCGCGTGGACTGATCGCGTTCTCTCCCTCGTCGTAGGGTGGTTGGGGAGGACCTCAGCAGCAGGGCGGCTGGGGCGGACCTCAGCAGCAGGCGTCCTCGGCTGCTCCGACAGGCGGCGCGGCTCCCCAGGCCGGTGGCCCGCCCAAGCAGTAGACCCCCACTGGGACTCCATCCTCACCCCTCCTTCATGAAGGCGAAGTAACCACGCGAAGGGCACACATAACATAAACACATAAACAGACCACGGTACTGGAATCCGTGTACTCGCTGCCGTGTCAGTTGAGAGTGTGCGTGGCCACGACAACGGCAGCATTTCACGTCCAGGGATTCTCGTTGGCTTTGATGGGCAGGAACGAAAGCACCCAAGAGTGAGAGATGGCAAGATTGTCTTTGGCTTGGATTACTCAAGGAATGGGCACGAGTTACATTTGCCTAACATTTATTGTTTGCGTTCGGTGTCTATGTAGAAGCTCTCATTGATGGCGGGTTGTGGAGCATCGTTCTCCAGAGGTTTTCTACCCGAGGCTCAAGAGCAGAGGAGGGAATAGAGAAGCAGAGGTAGAAAAGAGTAGAGGGGATGGCTTACAAGTCCATGCACCACTCGTTCTCCTTGCGGATCTGCTCCTCCTCCTCGGGGGTGAAGTCGTTCTTGATGTTGAAGGTCTTCCTGATGTCCTCGGGCGACTTGCCCTTGATCATGTTGGCCACGGTCTTGCAGGTAAGATCGAGGAGGGGCTTGATGTCGAGGTAGTTAGCGGCGAGGATGAGCTCGAAGAGGGTGGGCTGGTCGACCTCGCAGAACTCCTTGTCCCACGGGATGATGTCGTCGGTCCTCTTCTCGTCCTTCTTCTCATCCGAAGGCGCGTCAGGGTTGGCGTGGTGGTACTTGGCCCACTCGATAACCTGCCGAGTGGATCAACAACGATTAGCCCCACTCCTCCGTTTGAAGTAGAAAAGAGCTGACAATTCTAGAATGAACAGAATCGTTCAGTGCTCCAAGACACGGACACAGGTGGTACCTTGGCGAGGATCTTGCCAGTGACGTTGGGGAGGGGAATGGGGGCGTCGCTGTCAGCATCAACGTCATCAAGCATGTGCTTGACGGTGACGCTCATCTCGGCGATCTCCCTGGGGACCTCGAACACCTGTTCATCAGAGCTCTCAAGCTTGACCGACATTGTTGTAGATTGATGGAGAGATGTGTGAAAGGGAGAGGTTGATGCGCGTTTGGCTTCGATGAGAAGAATAGAAAAATTGATCGGGACCGGCGCCAGCAAAAGCTGCCAATTGCCTTCGCAGAAGCCTTCTTAAGAGGGCTGTGCACCGAAAATCAGTATTTCCTCGATTCTGGAGGTTTACAGCTAAATTAATTGCCCTCCAAGCTCCGCCCCTCTTGCGTGTGGACGGAGTTGTTGCTAAACCCCTTTTCCCCTCCCCCTGCAAAATGTCAATGTGTTTCGGTTTTGTTGTAAGGTTGATCACCTTTCATTTCAGTTCACCACACTTGTGGTTCAGGGCTGGTTACGGGACCCACGTGGCCAAATAGGACTGACCAACTTGGGGGGATGGGGCGTTAGCCCGCCACAGTGTTGTACATGAGCGGATCGACAATGATCAGGTAAAGCGCCACCGCCTTGAGATCGTGGAACGTGAAGCCTGTGCATCGTAAATGGACCGGGCGAGTGAGCACGCGGTGAGGCAGAACAAACCTACCTTGGGGGAAGAGTAAAGTTTGACGACTGTCGGCGCACCTTCGAACTGGCCGATGAAGGAGCAATCGTGTCCCTTGCACTCGCCCGTGTTCTCCATCTCGCACACCGTGTTGCCGACCTGGTCTCGTACCTGTCAAACCCAAGGAAGACGACAGTCGACAGGGTATGCGCTGAGGAAGTGAGTAACGGCGCGCAGGGCGATATAGAACAGTTGAATCATGTACCCAGGCACGGCCGAAGTCGACCTCGCCGATCTGCTTGTCGTCCTTGTCGAGGATCTGCTCCTCGAGAAGACTGCCCCAGAAGGACTCGTCCGGGCCGCCCACCGTCCACTCGTTGAAGTTGATGTAACCTACCACGTGGGAGGCACCTGTGAGTACCACAGAGCTGCGGCCGGCGCAGGTGGTGGCCCGAGTAGAGCAGCATAGGTGTTTGGGGGGGGGGTACTGACCAATGACGCGACCGTACTTGTCCGTGCAGGTGCCGTCGTCGGTGATGAAGGAACGAAGGTCGCGGCAGCGGTCCAGGATCTTCAGGCGCACGCCCGACGTCGGGACCTCGACCAGCTTCGGCTCTGCGCGGCACCAAAATAACAAATAAACAAAATATTATTATTTATTATTTATTTTTTAATTACTTGTTTATTTCTTTGGTGGCGCGATGCTGGGTGTGGTGGGGGGGGGGTGTACCAGGCTTGGGGGCGGGAGCGGCCCTGGGGACGGCGGCAGGGCGGGGGGCGGCCTTGGGCACTGCGGTGGAGGCGACAGGCACGAAGGAGCGGACGGTGGGGTCGGCAACGGCAGCCGTCCAGCAGCCTCGAAACTTGGGCCTCTCCTTGGCCAGCTTGTAGCGATCGTAGATGGGCGGTGCGCCATTGCGGCTGTAGTCGGCTGGCAGAGCTGCCATCTTGTCTTGTCTTGGGTGGTGTATTAAACGGGTGGAGAATTTCGTCCGGGCTTGGCACCATTTGGGAGAGCGCTTCCGAAACATTTGGAACAGTTTGTTTGGATTCTTTGAATCAAAGAAGTGGCCACGTCCGCAGCATTAACAAGAGGGATCTTGATCTTTGCAAACGTTTCTAATCGAACACGTACCACATCAACACGAAATGGAAGGAAATGGAAGCAATGATCCGAGAATTCAGGCCCTTCTGCGCGAGGGCGAGCAGAAGATGAAGCCAGGCCTCATGACCAAGCTCATCTGGGGTACCTCCTACGATGACGCGGCTGATTGCTTCTCCAAGGCTGGCAATCTCCTGAAGAATGCCAAAAACTGTACGAAATCAACACACCATCAGTGTTAGTGATTTCATTCTTGCTTTCCCGCATGCGTCCCTAACGCCTCCTGGACTTCTTTAACCGTGTGCGTTGCGTGCAGGGGACGAGGCCGCACGAGCCTACGTGAAGGCAGCGGACGCGCAGATCACCGGCAAGTCACACACGGAAGCCGTTTCCTCGCTGGGCAACGCCGCCACCTGCTTCAGGAAGGTCGCTCCTCAAGGTGTTCCTCTCATGTACACTCCCAATTGATGGCCGCGGCAGTAATGCTGAGGCAACGCCACGGCCGGCGACAACAGAGGCCGTGGGGTGTCTGGAGCGTGCCATCGGGATGCTGACCGACGAGGGTCGCTTCAGCATGGCCGCCAAGTACCACAAGGACATCGCCGAGATCTGCGAGAACGACCTCTCCGACAACAAGCAGGCCGCCGCTCACTACGAACGCGCGGCCGAGCTCTACGAAGGCGAACCCAATTCTTCATCGTACGACACGCTCGCTTGGCGTTTGCGTTCATTCCACCTCACCCTGCAGTGGTCAGGTTGTGGGAGCGTGTGCCACCATTTCTTTTCCGCAACTCACAATCACTGCGTGCCGTATTGACAGGAGCGTCAAGCCATGCCTCGTCAAGGTGGCACACTTCGCGGCGGAGGACGGCAACTACGCCCGCGGCAAGGAGCTGTTTGAGAAGCTCGCCGCGATTTGTCTCGAGAGCAGGCTCGGTTCCTATGGTACTCCTTCAGTCATCATCGTTATGGTCACGGCGTGCAGCTCTCTGTGATTGCTCATTATCGCACCTCTTCTCCTCTTCTGTACAGGTGCCAAGGAGTACCTCTTGAAGGCCGGCCTGTGCACTCTTGCCGAGGGGGTACGCACCTCGACTCCTAAACGCCGGCGGCCCTGAGCCAGCGTACGCCCCACCCAACCCTAACCCCCAATTGCGCGCTCGTTCAGGATGTGATTGCGGCCAAGAAGGCTCTGGAGAAGTACATGGACATGCACCCCGCCTTCGAGCGCGAGCGAGAGTTCACCCTCTTCTCCGTACCTTCTCCCTTTTCATCACTACCAGCGCCGTTTCGTGCTCCACCTCATTAATTCATTGCCGATGTGTTGTTCCGCAGGATGTGACGACAGCGGTTGATAACTATGACCTCGAGCTGCTCATGAAGACGGTCACCGACTATGACTCGCTTACCAAGATCGAGCCTTTCGTCACGACGCTGTTGCTCAAGATCAAGAAGATGATCGTGCCCGAGGGCGACCAAGACATCACCGCCGGCGAGGGCGCCGAGAACGAGGAGGAAGGCGAAGAGGGCGAGAGCATGCTGATCTAGGCCCCGGGAATCGGCTCTATCACACACGGAGACGAAGAACACAGACCGCCGCGACCTTGATGAACCACCTTCGACGGGTCCTCTCCTCCTGGCGCCCGCGCTGTACATACCACCGTGCCTTTGTTGCAACCACATTCACACCCAATTGGGTGGTTTTTGGTTCATTAAGGTTGCAGAAGAGAGATGGTTGGCGACTTCTCGTTGGGGAGTGGGCTGCCACGTCGGCGGTGTCAACTTGGGCCGGCCCAAGAGCCGCGGACCGCCCGGTCAACGACGACCTGTGACGCGTCGCGCTGGGCCTGGGCGAACCCCAGGCATCGGACCACTCCCTGGCCCGCATCGCCAATCGCGGGTGTCACCGCCAGCCGTGCCCGGATTTAACCGGGCGTGGTGCCGGACATTTTCGCATTGGGCGTGCGCGTCTGCGTCGGTTTGCTCACCCGGACTTTCGGCGCTCCAGCGTTGAAGTAGTCGATCTTTGGGCGTTTTCCGATTCCTCTTCCTCTCTGCAGATTGGCGTCGGCGTCTCGCACACAAGAAGACCTACCATCACACAAGCGCCAGATCGCATTCACTGCCTTCTCGCGCCGTTCGTTGATCATCGCCTGCCACTCCACTCGAGCGCGTAATCGCTTGATTTTACAGCCGTACACACCACTACACAAATTGACACACAACATGTCTGCCAAGGCCATCAGAGAGTACCATGGTAAGAACATCCTGGCGCGCCACCTCAAGGAGCGATCCAAGGGCCAGTTCCTTCTGGACAACAAGCGCGTCCATGTGTCGCCGCAATCGCCGGCCGCTTCGCCCATCAAGGCCGTCCTCGAGCAGCACCCGTGGCTGGTGACCGACAAGCTCGTCGTCAAGCCGGATCAGCTGATCAAGAGGCGCGGAAAGTCGGGGCTCATCAAGCTCAACGCCACGTGGGAGGAGTGCGAGCAGTGGCTCCAGGAGAGGCGCAGCAAGGAGGTGCGTCCCGCAGTGTAGATTCATTCAATGTCGATATCGATTTCCCATTTCTTTTTATATTACGGGCGCATTAACTGACCCTCTTTTTCTCCCTGCACTACCAGGTCGATGTGGAAGGTGTCAAGGGAGTGCTCGAGTACTTTGTGGTGGAGCCGTTCGTGCCCCACGAGGCTTCGGATGAGTACTACCTGGCCATCCGTTCGGGTCGCGATGGCGACGAGATTCTCTTCCATCACGAAGGTGGCGTTGACGTCGGTGATGTCGATTCCAAGGCCCTCGTACGCTGCCCCGACACTTGCTTTTGCTCTTGCAGAGCGACGTTGCTAATCTCTTTTTTCAATCGCTACTTTTTACATTTCTTAGAAAGTGATGGTTGAGGTCGACGAGAGCGTGAGCGTTGACACTGTGCGCAGCAAGCTGCTCACGAGCGAGACCATTCCCGCCGAGCGCAGGGAGCTGTTGGCCGAGTTCATCGCCCTTCTGCACGCCATCTACGTTGATCTCCACTTCACTTACCTCGAGATCAACCCGCTCGTCGTGGTACGTCACCACACCTCAACCGCTGGCGGCCGGTGTGATGTGCCATGGTCAGCTCAGCTGACACCTCTCTGGTTTCGCGTGTCCAGGTCGGCAACAACGTTCACGTGCTTGACTTGGCCGCCAGGCTCGACCAGACTGCCTACTTCGAGTGCCACAAGGGCTGGGGCGAGATCGAGTTCCCGCCGCCCTTCGGCAGGCCTCTGCTCGAGGAGGAGCGCTACATCCAGGAGCTCGACTCCAAGACCGGCGCGTCCCTCAAGCTGACCGTGCTCAACCCCAACGGTCGCATCTGGACCATGGTCGCCGGCGGTGGCGCCTCCGTCGTCTACGCCGACACCCTGTCCGATCTGGGCATGGCCAATGAGGTGTGCAACTACGGTGAGTACTCGGGCGACCCCACTGAGTCGCTCACCTTCGAGTACGCCAAGACGATCCTCTCCCTCATGACCAAGGGCGAGCCCATCCAGGGCGGCAAGGTAACGGCCTCGTTCGTTAATTCAGTACAGCCACCCGCGTTGTACTAACCCGGGCTGTTTTCCGCTTTGGGGCTAGGTGCTCATCATTGGCGGTGGTATTGCCAACTTCACCGACGTGGCGGAGACATTCAAGGGTATCGTCAAGGCCATCAGGCACTTCCAGGAGCGCCTCAGGATGCACAAGGTCAAGATCTACGTGCGCAGGGGTGGTCCCAACTACCAGGAGGGCCTCCGCTCCATGCGGGAGAGCGTCGAGGGCATGGTGCGTTCCTTCCTCCCTCTCCATCACGTTAGCGCCAACCGCCATGCGCAGCAGCAGCAGCACGCAAAGCAGCTCTTCGTCTTAGACTATCAATGAGACGAAGAGAAGAGAAATCGCGTGCAAGATCGAAGGGTGTTCAAAATGCTTGCTCCTCTTCGGGGGATTCGGTTTAACTGAGACTTGAATCGCCTGTGGGGAGTGAGTGCCATCAAACTCCCACATTCCATTTCTTATTTTTCCTTTCTCTTCTTTCTTTCCTTCCTCCCACTGTGAGACTGACATGCCTTCTCCGTACAGCAAATTCCCATCGTCGTGTCCGGCCCCGAGACCCACATGACCGCCATTTGCCAGCTGGCCATCGATGACCTGAAGAGCGCCATTGAGGGCGGCGAGGCCTCCAGGTACTAATCACCACATGCTCGCGCGTATGCAGCGCAGCCCGATCTAACTCGTGGGTGGGCGTACCAATTTCTTGCACGCAGCATGACCCGCAACAAGAGCTGGGGCAACCTCGAGGCGGCTGAAAGCCCCGAGCTGCAGTTCAGCCCCCAGGCTCCTCCCGCCGACGGCCCCAAGCAGCCCGTCACGGTCTCGATCGCCGACGGTCTCCCCACCGACGAGAGCCGCACTCTTGCCCAGTCGCAGGGTGCCTACGCCCAGCACAAGCCCGTCCACACCCTCTTCAGCAGCGAGACCCGTGCTGTCGTGTACGGCATGCACCCCGTCGCCGTGCAGTCCATGCTCGACTTCGACCACCTGTGCGGCCGCAAGCAGCCCTCGGTGTCGGCCATCGTCTACCCGTTCGCCGGTGCGCACTACCGCAAGTTCTTCTGGGGCTCCCAGGAGATCATGATCTCCGTCATGCCCTCGCTCGCCGAGATCTTCGCCAAGAACCCCTCCAGCAAGCTCGACACGCTGGTGAACTTTGCCTCGTGCCGCTCGGTCTATGAGTCAACCAAGGAGGCCCTGGCTATCCCCAACATCAAGACCATCGCCATCATTGCCGAGGGCGTGCCGGAGAGGCGCACGCTCCAGCTCATCAAGCTCGCCGAGACCAGGCCCGAGGCGGCCGGCGGCCGCGTGACCATCATTGGTCCGGCCACCGTCGGCGGAATCAAGCCCGGCTGCTTCCGTATCGGTAACACTGGTGGTCGTCTGGACAACGTGCTGGCCAGCAAGCTCTACCGACCCGGCAGCGTCGCCTACGTGTCCCGATCCGGTGGTCTGTCGAACGAGCTCAACAACATCGTCTCGCGAAACACCAACGGCGTCTACGAGGGTATTGCCATCGGCGGCGATCGCTACCCTGGCACCACCTTCATGGACCACCTCCTCCGATTCCAGGTAAGTCGCGCGCGTCCGAATTGCGTCGTAGATGCAGAGTGCATTGTGCTCATCATTTTCACTACAGGCTGATCCGGGCGTGAAGATGATGGTCCTGCTGGGTGAGGTCGGCGGCACTGAGGAGTACAAGGTGTGCGAGGCCCTCAAGAACGGCACCATCACCAAGCCCATCGTGGCCTGGTGCCTGGGCACGTGCGCCAAGATGTTCCCCACCGAGGTCCAGTTCGGTCACGCCGGCGCCTGCGCCCACTCCGACCTGGAGACCGCCGACGCCAAGATCCGCGCGCTCACCGAGGCCGGCGCCCACGTCCCCTCGTCCTTCAATGAGATCGCCACCCTCATCAACAAGGTCTACACCGATCTCGTCCAGAAGGGCGTCATCGTCGTCGGCAAGGAGCCCCCTCCGCCCAAGGTACCATCCCGTTCATCTCTCCCTCACCTTCAGCATCAACCACCGCACAACTGAGAACTCGATGCATCCTGGCCATGATGCATCGAGGGGTTTTATAGTGCAACAGCGAAATATCTACACTTACCTGAATCAGATCGTGTGAAAAAATACGCCAGTGGCCGCTCCAGGCCTTGGAGTACACAAAGCACACAGACATTTCTTTTTCCACTCTTACACTTGACTACCACACACACCTCGCGTTGGTTCGCATTCGCTAATCGTCCTGCGTTGGCCTTGTGCGCAGATCCCCGTGGACTTCGCGTGGGCGAGGAAGCTGGGTCTTATCCGAAAGCCCGCTTCGTTCATCTCCACCATCTCCGACGAGAGAGGCGAGGAGCTCATGTACGCCGGCATGCCCATTTCCCAGGTCTTCGAGGACGAGATCGGCATCGGCGGCGTCATCTCGCTGCTGTGGTTCAGGAAGAGGCTGCCCCAGTACGCCTGCAAGTTCATCGAGATGGTGCTCATGATGACCGCCGACCACGGTCCCGCCGTCGCCGGTACGCGCCCACCACCTCCACCCTCTTTCTTTTTTTTCTCTCTCTGGAAACACGACCACCGCTATATGATGACCACATTATGCACTATATCGAACACCAAACGGTGTTATGAAGGATTTTCTCAGATGAACGTCTGAAACGACGATCGTGTTCTCTTCTTCCTTTCTTTTTCTCTTCGTTCTTTGCCTTGCATTGATGATGACTTATCACCGGCTTGGCCATCGTGCAGGTGCTCACAACACCATCGTGACTGCTCGTGCCGGGCGCGATCTGGTGTCTTCGCTCTGCTCGGGTCTCCTCACCGTCGGTCCCCGTTTCGGTGGTGCCGTGGACGGTGCGGCCAAGACCTTCTCGTGGGGTTACGACACTGGCCTCAGGTACACACCGACCTCTCCCCCCCATAAATATGGTCTAAATCCTACTCGTCACCCGCCACTCACGTTCTTCTTCATCTTCGTCAACACAGCCCCTTCGAGTTCGTCGAGGAGATGCGCAAGAGGAAGGAGCTGATCGCTGGTATCGGCCACAAGGTCAAGTCCATCCACAACCCTGGTACGTGCCACCCACCACTACCCACCACTCAACGCTGTCGCCTCAGCAATGCCCACTTTTTCTCATCGCATCGTGTGTGTTTGTGTGCGTCACGCGCAGACAAGAGAGTGACGATCCTCAAGGAGTTCGCCCTCAAGCACTTCCCCGCCCACCCGGTGCTGGACTACGCCCTCGAGGTTGAGGTGCTCACCACCAAGAAGAAGCCCAACCTCATCTTCAACGTCGACGGCTGCATCGGCTGCTGCTTCGTCGATCTGCTCAGGCACTGCGGCGCCTTCGCTCCCGAAGAGGTACGTTTCATCCGTGTGTCGTGTCGTTGGTCGTGTCGTGTCGTGTCGTGTCGGGGCGCCAAACGATGTCGACAGCTAATGTTATGATTGCAGGCTGAGGACTACCTGAAGAACGGATTCTTGAACGGTCTGTTCGTGCTGGGTAGGAGCATCGGTTTCATTGGCCACTTCCTCGACCAGACCAGGCTCCAGGAGGGACTCTACAGGCACCCGACGGACGACATCTTCTACATGACCACGTCGGGTCCCGACCAGTCGGTTGTTCCCCTCTAAACAGGCAACCGCGCGCACTCTACACCAACGTCATGATGATGATCATCACCCCCTTTTTTTATGATCATTATTTACATACCGCCACGAACACATCCGAGGAGAGAGACAGAGAGGCCAATTTTGAGGAGATGCCGCCCAGGCACACAACACACTTGCACAGCGCTTGCCACAATAAAGAACGATACCCACAGCGCTGCACTACACGCACACGCAGCTTCCAGGCCCTCCATGAAGGCCATCATTCGCGATCTCTTCACCAGCGATGTTGGTTGCAGATGGCAGGAGTGAGTGCAGACAGAGTAATGGATGATGGAAATGCCAGCACGCACGCACTCGCACTCACACGACAGCTCACGCTCAAGGCTGTCGGATACGGGAAGGGGCGGGCAGGGCTAGCCCCCATGGTTGTTGGATACGGCCATACTGCGTTCAGAAAGCACCGCTTCCCATCCGAACAGCGAAGTTAAGCTACGCCAGGCGGTGCTAGTACTGGGGTGGGCGACCACCCGGGAATCCACCGTGCCGTATCCTCTTATTTTGCAGGCTTAACCCCCCCCCACTCGTCCTCTTTCTGCAACACTCCATTAAAAACTTTTAAATTCTTCTTGGAAAGCATCTTTTCTTCAGGGCTAAAACGATCGGCAACATGAAGTGAGTACCTCCTCAAATTTGGTCAACGAAGACGCCCTCCATCTTGCGTGTCTAAGAGGACACCACGTAAACGAGGCAGGTTGCTGATCTTCATCAAAATGCAGGTTTTATTTGGAAGATTTGTTGGTGTACTTTCCGTACACTTACATCTACCCGGAGCAGTACTCCTACATGCTCGCCCTCAAACGCTCCCTTGATGCCAACGTATGTTCTTCATCAACATTGCAGTTCTCAACTCCATTTATGATTGGTTTAAACCAGTCATCTTTTTTAATCACTTGTAGGGTCCGTGCGTGCTGGAGATGCCGTCCGGCACGGGCAAGACTGTGTCGCTGCTGTCGCTCATCACGTCCTACCAGCTCGCCCACCCCGAGGTCGGCAAGCTCGTCTACTGCTCGCGCACCGTGCCCGAGATCGAAAAGGTTCCTACCAACGACCTCCGCCCGTGCCTGCGTGTGCGGTAGTGCGTGTGCGTGTGCTAGAGCTTACGGTTGGGCGCAGGCGGTTGAGGAACTGCGACGAGTGGTCGCCTATCGCGATCAGGAGCTGGGGGACGATGCGCCCAAGTTCTTGGGACTCGCCCTCAGCGCCCGGCGCAACCTGTGCATTCACCCGCAGGTGAGCCAGCACACGCAAGGCGTCGTCGTCGATTCCAAATGTCGCGGCCTCACTTCGTCATGGGTCAGAGCAGAGGTACCGCTCATGTGCGTGTGCGTGTGTCGTGCGTGTCGTGCGATGTGCATTGATGCGCGTGGCTTGTTCGCTTGACTCTCCAGGCGGACAAGTACAGAGGGCTGCACGAAGAGACGACCGACGGCCAAGGCCGGCGCAGCGTCGGTCCCGTGGAGCTGTGCGACTTCTTCGAAGAATACGAGAAGAACGGACGGTGCGTAGTGCACTACCCCTTTTTCTTTTCTTTTCTTCCCCCGGTGCTCTGGGCTTGGTGGCTGGTGGTGGTGGTCAGCTGACTGTGCGGGCCACTGCGCAGGGACGTGCTCTTGAACGGCGTGTACTCGCTGGGCGACCTGAAGCAGATCGGGAGGGAGCGCGGGTGGTGTCCCTACTTCCTCGCACGGCACCTCATCAACTTTTCGCACGTCGTCATCTACAGGTGCGGCTGCGACTGCCGCTCTCAACCGTTGGTTGCCTTGCGTTGAGAGAGAGAGAGAGAGAGAGAAGGCCAAGACTGACTCACATCTTGTGGTGTTCGCGTGTTGGGTGGGTGGTGGCCCAGCTACCAGTACATCATCGACCCCAAGATCTCGGACCTGGTCTCGAAAGAGTTCAAGAAGAACTCCATCGTCGTGTTCGACGAGGCGCACAACATCGGTAGCTCTCTGTCCACACCACTGCTAACAATAATAATATTCTTCTTCTTTTTCTTTTTCTTTTATTGTTGTTTTGTTGTTATTATTCTATTATTCGTGTTATTATTAACGCGTTGAGGTCTGACGTCGTCAACTGGCCGCCAGACAATGTGTGCATCGATGCGCTTAGCGTCAACATTGACAAGCGAATCCTCGGCGCATCGGCCAGAAGCGTGAAGAACCTTTCCACGAACATCACCAGGTGAGGCTCATTCCTCGGCATCAAGCGCGGTGTGTAGTGCGTGCCCCGCGCGATGTAGGCTCTTCTCACGTGCGGCGGCGACGCATTCAGAATCAAAGCCACGGACGCGGACAAGCTCAAGAAGGAGTACAACCGGTTGGTGGAGGGCCTGTCCGGAATCGCGCGCATCGCAGACGAAGCCAAGGCCGATCCAGGTACCAACCTACACGACACGACACACACTTTTCGATCGCTGCTCACTCGTTCCCTTTGTAGTGTTGCCTGACGATGTCATCCAGGAGGTGATTCCGGCCAACATCCGCAAGGCGGAGGACTTCATCGACCTGCTCAAGCGGTTCCTTCAGTACCTCCAGGCGCGGCTCAACACCAAGCAGGTGATCAGCGAACCGCCGCTCGCCTTTCTACAGAGCTGCCAGGAGGCCACCAAGATCGTACCCAAAACACTGCGGTACCTCACTGCGCCTTACCAGTCGCACCAGGATTGTATTCTGAGCGGTTGTGTGTGTGTGTCGTGTGTCGTGTGTCGTGTGTCGTGTGTGTGTGTGTGTGTGTGTGTGTGTGTGTGTGTGTGTTGTCGTGTGTCGTGTGCAGATTCTGCGCTGGTAGGCTCTCGTCGCTGCTTAGGGCGCTGGAGATATCGGACACAGCGGAGTACCAGCCCCTCGGCGTGGTGTGCGACTTTGCCACTCTCCTCGGGACCTACCAGAAGGGCTTCTCCCTCATCATCGAACCTCGAAGTGACGAAGGTGCACCCGCCTCCCTCCCCATTCACGCCTGCCCCGTTCCGTTTGTTTGCTTCCCCTCACAACCATCACAACCATCACACGACACACGACATGTACGACACAGAGGTGGAGAACAACACAATCCTGCAGTACACGTGCCTCGACGCATCGATCGCCATGCAGCCCATCATCCGCCGCTTCCGGTCGGTGGTGATCACCTCGGGGTACCCATTCTCTATGCTACGCTACGCTCCGCTTCAGGGTCCGGGGCTGCTGCTCTGACAATGATCGGGTCCGACTCCCCGTAGGACCCTGTCTCCGCTGGACATGTACCCACGCATGCTCAACTTTATGCCGGTCGTCACCGAGCGGCTCGGAATGAGTTTGAACCGGTACGTGAGTCCCCCATCCACGCGCCCTGCCATGTGCAGCGCACGGGCTGCTCACTGTGCGTGGTGTGTGCGGCGCGTGCTGTTCAGTGCGTGCGTGTGTCCGTTGATTGTGACGCGAGGCAGCGATCAGGAGGTGATCAGCACCAAATTCGAAGGCCGCAGGGATCCCTCCGTGCTGCGCAACTACGGCGCGCTCCTGCTCCAGTTCACCACCGTCGTGCCCGACGGCATGGGCACGTCACCCCCCCCCCCCAAACGCATTCCACACATTTCACATTCCACATTCCAAAGTGGTGGCTGACCTCCTGGTCGGCGTAGTGTGCTTCTTCCCGTCGTACCGGTACATGGAGGAGACGGTGTCGGTCTGGGACGAGATCGGCATCCTGCGGCAGGTGGTGCAGCACAAGCTCCTCTTCGTGGAGACGCCCGACTCGGTGGAGTCCTCCCTCGCGCTCTCCAACTATCGGTACAACACGCAGCACAGCCTCGCTCGCCGTGTGTCGTGTGTGTGTGTGTGTGTGTGTGTGTGTGTCGTGTGTGTGTGTGTGTCGTGTGTCGTGCGGCTGTTGATTGACTTCTCGCTGTGTTTGGTGCCACAGGCGCGCATGCGACACGGGCCGAGGGGCGATTCTCTTCTCGGTGGCGCGAGGCAAGATTTCAGAGGGCATCGATTTCGACCATCACTATGGAAGGCACGACACGCACAACACGACACGACACGCACACGACACACGACACCTGTGCACATCGCACGAGCTGACCACACCGCACACGCGCACACAGGTGTGTGATCCTGTTTGGCATTCCCTACATGAACACGCAGAGCAGGATACTGCGGGCTCGCTTGGAGTTCCTGCGCGACAACTACCAGATCCAGGAGGCCGAGTTCCTCACCTTTGACGCCATGCGCACTGCCGCGCAGTGCGTGGGTCGAGTCATCCGCGGCAAAAAGGACTACGGCATCATGGTACACCTCGCCACGTCTGTGTGTCGTGTGTGTCGTGTGTGTCGTGTGTGTCGCGTGTTGTGTGTTGCCTTGCTCATCATCGACGGACGCGGTTGTCAAGGTGTGGGCCGACAAGCGGTACAATCGACTGGACAAGCGGTCGAAGATGCCCCAGTGGGTGTCCGACAACCTGCAGCATTCGCACCTCAACCTCTCCACGGAGATGGTACGACGCCTCGTTCTTCGTTCTTTCACGCGTTCTTCTCTTTCGTTCTTGGCTCCGACTGACGCCAACCCGGGCGCGCGCAGGCGGTGAGCTTGGCGCGCACTTTCCTGAAGGAGATGGCGCAGCCATTCTCGCTCACGGCGCAGTTGGGCAAGGCGCTGTGGACGCTGGAAATGGTGGAAAAGCAACCCACCAGCAAGAAGCCCACCCACATCGCACTCACAACCGCTGCCACCTCTCCTTCCTACGAGGGCGACGACCAGCAGCATCCGCCTTCCTCTTCCTCATCCTCATCCACATGATTTTAAATGCAGAGCTTTTTTGCCCATTCAGTAGAGTTACCATTTGGAGGAGCCAGCCTTGGTTTGGTGGCAAAAAAATATAAACTATAAATTGAACCTATCAACAACGCCTGCACGCCGATTTTCGATCGGTAATCGATAAGCTTTGGGGTTATTTCCCGGATATCTGGTATGTAAGGAACGGAGCTTTGGAGGCACGCAAACCACAACGCAACCAACCATCACAAAGTTTGAGAGAGATGAGCGAGACGTGGAAGCAGCCCCTGTCCTACCTTGGCGTGGCCGCCCTCTCCGCCGGCGCTGCCGTGGCCGGCTACCGATACTTGACCGGCTACCGATACACCACCGTCGTCCCGCCCCCTGCCGCTGCTGCTGCCGTCGTGCCCGCCGTCGTTGATGAATCGACCAACGCTGACGAGATCGAGCTGGCCTTCAAGGCCGTGCAGAACCACATCTGCCAGTTCCTCGAAGACGAGAGCGGACAGCGCTACAAGGAGGACACGTGGAGCTACGACAAGGGCTCCGGTGGCGGCATCTCGCGGGTGTGGGAGGCCCTGAGCGACGACGAGCGCCACCTGCTCCTCGAGAAGGGCGGGGTCAACTTCTCGGGCATCCACGGCGCTGCCATGCCCGACAGCGCCGCTACGCAGTTCAAGATTCCGCCCAACACGGCCTTCAGGGCCACGGGGGTGAGCCTGGTCATACATCCGCGTACGCCCCACGTCCCCACCATCCATGCCAACATCCGCTACTTCGAGTGTGGGCCGCGGTGGTGGTTCGGGGGCGGCGTCGACGTGACCCCCTACTACGTTAATCGAGAGCGCGTGGTCGAGTTTCACAAGTTGCTACGCGCGCTGTGCGAGGAGTGGGGCTACAGCTACGAGGCCTTCAAGAAGCAGTGTGATGCCTACTTCCTCAACACGCACAGGAAGGAGGCGCGAGGCGTGGGCGGCCTCTTCTTCGACCACCTCACCACCAGCGACGCGCTGCCCAAGAGCAAGAAGGAGATCTGCGACTTCCTGGTGGCGCTGGGCATGCTCTTCCCGCAGCTCTACGGCCCCTTCATCCACGAGGGCAAGGACAAGGAGGTGACGCCCGAGCAGCGCGAGTTCCAGCTCTACCGCCGCTCGCGCTACGTCGAGTTCAACCTCCTCCACGACCGAGGCACCAAGTTCGGCCTCCAGTCCGAGGGCCGCGTCGAGTCGATCCTCATGTCCATGCCGCCGCTGGCCCGATGGAAGTACAACTGGCACCCGGAGGAAGGCACGCCAGAGGCCGAGCTCTATGACATCATCACCCCCAAGGACTGGGCCTCCATGTAGTGTGTGTATCACGAGACTATATAAGTTCAGGAGCTAAACATCATCTTAACTACAACACGCATCGCACCCCACGCAACACTCACCGCCGCACGACACGCGCGGCACTTGGAAGAGCACACGGTGCTCACCGTGTGGAGCTGTGTTGATCTCGTGCAAACAAGGGTTGGGAGAGGGGACAAGAAGATGGATTGAAGAAAGAGACAATCTGTGTTGATAGGGGCAACAACAACAAATCCCACCAGGGTGGTTGGAAGCAGCATAAGCTACAACGACGAGGTTTAACGGTAACGCCTGAGCGAGACCTTGTTGTTCCTCTTCCAGACGGCGCGCCTCGAGGGCCTGGACTTGGTGTAGTTGTGACCCTTGCCACGGAGACCCCTGTACTTCTTGCCAGCGGAGGTCAGACCCCTCATCTCGCGGTGCTTGTGGGTGGGGGCGGCGATCCAGTTCATCTTGGGGTCGCGACGGACGGCCTTGTGGAAGGGATCCACGAGGATGATCTCGAAGAACTTGAAGGTGGCATCCTATAATCATAATCGCGAAACAAAGTTGTTAATTGCGGCCGGAGATTGACGAATGAATGGAGAATGGGATGTAGCGCATACCTGGGCAACCCAGTAAGAGTTCAGGACGCGGAGGTTGCCGCAGCGACGGCCAGCACGCTCCTCAGCGACGGAACGGAGGGACCTCTGGAACTTGAGGGCGTTGACACCCTGGGTGGCGGGCTTACCGTGGACGCGACCCTTCCTGATCTTCCTCTTGCGGCCACCACGGCGGACGCGCACTCTGTAGATGACGAAGCCCTGCTTGGCCTTGTAGCCGAGACGGCGGGCCTTGTCGGGGCGGCTGGGCCTGCTGACGCGCAGAACCATGGGGTACTGCCTGTACTCCCAGCACCTGAGCCTGGCGAGGAAGCGCATCACGTCGGACTGCTTCTTCCTCCAGAGTTCCTGGACATACTTGTAGGCGCCTGAAGATTACGAAAACACAAATCACACAGTCAATCTTCTAACCTTACTCAAGCTCAAAGCCTGGATTTGCTCCACGCATTTACGGAGGGGGAGAGGAGGGTGGCCATACCCATGATGCGATGCGGATAGGGGAGAAAGAGAGAAAGGATAAGTCTGAAGTGGCCGTGCCCACAAAAAGACGGCCACCAGTTTTTGTCGACTTCGTTTTTTCAATCCCCGCTATTTCCTCTTTTTTATTTTACATTTTTATTTCTTTTTTAGCGGGAAGAGAAGGGAAGGAGGGCAGTCATCAGTCGGTGTTGATGGTCTTGTAGGGCGAGGCTCGGGCGGCGAGGAAGAGGGAGAAGGCCGTGGCGAGAGCCGACGGGATGAATATGAAGTCGAACCACCGGTGGTAGAAGTTGAACTGAATATCGCCCAGCACTTGTGTGATGGCCTCTCTGTGTGTTGCGTGTAGACGCGTGAGAATGTAACACGCACACGCAGACGCACATGCACCATCGCACACGCGCACACATAATCGCACACGCACACGCGCACGGAAAGGTGTAGAGCCAGCTTGTGCGTACCTGTACTGAAGAGGCAAACTCATCCGGAGGAGGAGAACGGACGACACGAAGTACATGCCCATCACATGGGCCAGGAGCAGGACGATGCTGTTGGACGTGACGCTGCTCGAGTAGGCGTAGAACAGCTGTTGGTGCGCCCACAACCGCGTTTCCACAGTAATCAATGAGCGCTTGCAGTGGTCATCCCAATGGGGCAACCGACAACCAGCAGCATGGCCCCTAGGCAAGGTACCTTCATCAACTGGTTGAGGAAGCCGCGAATGGAGGCGGCAATGATGATGCCGACGAACAGGAAAGATATGTGCTGCGACCAGAAGGGCACATCGATCTCCACGTGACAGAACCTGAGTTGGTTGTCGGCATCGGTGGCGGCGGTGTGAGTCGATAGGGCCTTAAAGCAATGATGGAGGTGGCGGAGAACGTGAAACGGGACTTACTTGAGCAAGAGCGAGATGCCCTTGGTGACGGGGTCGGTCGTGGCGACTCGATCGAAGATGATGTTGATGGTCGCCTGACATCACCAAAGAAGAAGAAAATGGGAGTGAGACAAGGAAGGAAGGTGGAGCGGAAAAGCAAGGCGCACCATGAAGAGCTTGTAGATGCAGTAGCCGGCGAGGAAGTAGCCCAGCAAGTTGTACAACCGGCCCTGCATCGTACGCGAGAACTTGATCCTCTCCTGCACGCACACGCCGGACAGAGACAGTCAGTCAGTCAGTCGCCGCAGTGAAGAGACACGCGCGCACGACGCGAGGCTTCTGACCTGCGCGAGTCGGAGGTGGTGGATCTCCAAGAACAGTTCCCGCCCAAAGTTCTCCAGAGCGCCCGTCTCCTGTTCCAGCGCCTCGAGTTCTATTCCACGCAAACGAGACCCACACCGAACGAGTGACGCGCATCAGCCGGCAGACCACGCGAACAGCCACAGCCACGGCCGCGGCCACAAAGATTGCGCGCGTACCGGTTTGCATGGCGTCGCCTCGGTCAGCGCCCGGAAGGAAGCCTGCGAGTCGCGACACGAAGCCCTTCTGCGCGCACCTCGCCGGTCAGGCACGGCCTGGGCGAAATGGAAAGGAAAGAGGGAGGCGGGCTGGCCAATACCGACGACGGTTCGGTCGGGCGCCTGTATTGTGTGTTCACAAAGGCCAGGCGCTTCTTCTTCTTGAGGATCTTGTCCATGGTCTGGATGTACTGCTTTTCCAGCACCAGCACCTCCTCCTCGTTCACGTGCCTATATGCCACCACGCGGAGCACCACACACACATCAACAGCGCCTGTTAGCGGACAAGAACATCACCATCACCGCCATTGCCGCGGCTTTCAAGGCGCCGATGAGCGGGAACACGTGCTTGAGGAAGTAGGCAGAGTAGTCGTAGGGACACTGGACCGCGCCGTAGCCCTGGGCGATGTGTGGTGACAAGACGGTGGGGTGATGATTGGTTATTCAATCGAAAGGGACGCAGAAATGAGGGCGCCCGAAGAATGTAATACGAACCGAGAGAAAGGCCATTACGGTGACGCCCACGACTCCGATAAGGCTCACGCCCATCTCGATCGACAGCATCCCTTTGGGGTGAGTGGGTGGGTTGTCGGTGCGATCAGTCTCAGTCGCGCTCCGTGATAAATAGGAGAGAGCTTCGTGGGTACCGTGGTGGGCCTTCACGATGGGGAACGGGTCGCCGAGCTTGTAGAAGCCCCACACAAACACGACCGACATGGCCAGCGCCAGCGCCAGCCGCTTGTTACGACCCGACACTGGTGCGCGCCACACGGTTGCGTTGCCAGTAAGTCGACAGAGATCAGTGTGGCCGGGGCAGGCCATGATGGGGTGGGATGGGTACGGTAGGGCGACAGGAGGAGGTAGAACTGGTAGAAGGGCACCACGCAGAGCAGGCCCACCAGCATGAGATACAAATCGATCTTCCAGTTGAGCCATCGCGAGCTGACCACGTGCATGGTGGCGAGCAGTGAGCATCAATGTAAAAAATACGGAACATAAAAATAAAAATCTGTAATCATCAGATGGATTGTTAGATTTGTTGAGTAGCGTACTTTGAGTCCAAAAAGCCGACAATCTCGAAGATGATGAGCTGGAACATGCTGCAGCTCAGCGTGAATGTCGAACAGAAGAGGAATTGGACGATTGGGTCCTTTGCCTCATAGTCTTTGAACAGCTTTTTTCGATAGAAGAGCAGCCCGAAGCCGAAGTAGGCCCCGTGCAGAATCACCAGCAGGAACGTTTCCTGCAACAGCCGCTCCATCTCTTGTAGCAACGCACTGAGTGCAGCCGTTTGTTTGTTTTTTGTTTTTTTGATCAATAAAAACAAAAAAAAACAAAAAAAAACAAAAAAGGCCAAGCTTGGCACAGAGAGTACAGCAAAACAGTGCTTGTTGAAAGAGAACGTCAAGGCACTAACTCGGGATGAGAAAGAAAAGGAGCACGTCGCGTTGAGGTGGAAGGGCCAAGGCCGCCACCTGGCGGATGGTCGGTTCGCCGCGAGAGATGGGTTGTTGTTTTTGTGGTCATTTACTCGGCGGCCTTGGGCGGCGGGCTGAGATCGGCGTCCTTGCCAGTCACGCGCTTGTAGAGGTCGAGGATATCGATACATGTGGTTTCAAAGTGGGACGTGGCATCGTACGACGTGGACACGAAGATCTTGTCCGAGGTACCATCATCGGTGGGCACCAGCATGGGCGACACCGAGGTGAACCTGACATCAAGAAATGAGTATATGTAAGTACTAAGGTGGGTGCCAACCAACAAGTCCGTCTGCATTGGTGCACGCGCTGAGGATGGAAGGGTGCGTACTTCTCGATGATGGGACCCATGAGGTCGAAGGCGGCCTTCAGCTCAGCCTCGGGGTTGTTGGTCTCCACGGTCGTGGACGCAATGGCGACGAACTTGCCCTTGGCGCACACGTTGTGGGAGGAGGAGACAACCGAGATGTAGATGTCTGCGCACGCGAACGAACAGGTGAGCAAAAAAAGAATTGGAAAAAATATAGAGAAAACCAGAAAAGGCGATTGAAACTTCGCAGTCGTGGATGAACAACGTACCCGACTTGCGGCCAATCTGCTTCTGGGGCAGAATGATCTGGCAGCTCTCCGAGTTGTTGGTGTTGGGGATGGGGTGGTCGAGGAAGCAGATCGTGCGCACAACGTGACCCACCTGGCGGACCTTGCCGGGGAAGTACGAGGGGTCACCGATGACGAACTTGCACCTGGCCACCTCACCCTCAGACTTGATTCCGACAACCTTGCCGCCCTCCATGATGACCTCCTCGACGGGCTTGTTAAGCATGTAGGTACCGCCGTGAATGGCGCTGAGCCTGTGGTGCGATGATTGGGGGGGGGCGAGATTAGAGATGTGTAGAGACATTGAACGGCTTTAGAGGCAACTAGCTGACGTACCTGGCGAAGGCCTGAGGAAGCTCACCGAGACCGTAGAGCGGGTAGATGTAGGGAGACTTGGTATACCTGGCGAGCGACTCGACGTAGAGACGAATCCTCTCGACAGTGGGGAGGGCGGGCTGCGAGAGGTACTCGTCGTTGACGTGGAGCGCCAGCGAGTGACCGACGAAGTCGATGGTGTCCTCTCCGAGACCATAGGCCTCGAAGAGCTCCTTCATCGTCATGCGGCGAAGGTCATAACCTGCATTTTGAACAAATGTTAATAAAACGTTCGCCGATCAAGCAATGATGGGGAGCTGACGGTACCCTGGTGGGTCTTGCTGTTGTTCTCATCGTATTCCTGGACGTACATGAAGAACTTCTTGCAGCGACGCTTCTCGAACATGCCCATGAGGGGGCTCTTGAGGGCCTCCACGTCGGTGGCGGGCACCTTGTGGACCTTACCCTGCACCACGACGTACGAGCCATCGACCGACTTGAACTCGAGGTAGCGAGTGACGTCGGTGTGGATCAGCATCTTCACGAGGATACCTGTGAGGTGGGAATGCATCGACGTGAGCTGACTCACCATTGCAAACCATTTGCTCGCTAACCCCCCCCCGAGGAAGGAGCGAAGCAACGAACCGCTGGCCATGATGAACTTGGGGATGAGATCGACGTTGTAATCGCGGGACTGACCCAGAGTGGCAGGGGGAGCAGCGTTGCCCTTGAACTTCTCGTAGAGCTGGGTGAGATTGAGCGACGCGCAGTCGCCGCCGTAGTAACCATTGCGGTCCATGTGCAAAACCTTGAGGCCACCAACCGACAGCATGCCGCTGAGCACGCACTCCTTGAGGCCAGTGCCAAGAACGATGCAATCATACTCCTCGTCCATGATGATTGTTTGGGTCGATGATTCGAATAAAAAGACTGAGAGGGAGAAGAAGAAGCAAGCTGCTTGATGTGTGAATGAAACAAAAAAAAAGATGCTCGCGTCAGGGCGGCACACGTCGCCCCACACAGCAGAAGTCTCCCTTCTTCGATCGCCATTCGCCCAATCCAATTATGTCGACGCCAATTCGACGTGCGAAATTTCGTTGACCACACGCCCGCAGACTACGGTCCAACGAAAACAAAAAAACACAAAAAAAACACTTGCCACAACAAGATGGAAACGCAACGAGCCTACAGCCCTGTTGGAGCTTCCAACCTGCCCTTCCACAAGCAGGTGATGGCAGGCGCACTGGCCGGTATGGAAGCAACTCTGAATCAGATCCCCCAGACAATTTAATTGATTTAATTGATTTTGCGTCAGGTCTTTGTGAGGTGTTGTGCATGTATCCTCTTGACGTGGTGAAGACTCGCTTCCAGCTGCAGACCGCGGCCGAGGCTCGCTACTCGTCTGTCCTGGGCACCTTCCGCGACATCATCAAGACTGAAGGGTACGTCCCCGAGTCCCAACTTTCCTCATCACCTTGCCATACAATTTATGGCCACCGGAGCTGAGCGGAGGCCGCCACCGGTGATGTTGATGGTGGCGACCTATACCAGAACATTTTCTTTTTATCATCTCACTGTCTCGGTCTGCTTTTGTGTGCGGGGTGGGTGACACGGGGTGCGTGGGGCACGGACAGGTTCAGCAAGCTGTACCGCGGCATCGCCTCGCCGATCATGGCCGAAGCGCCCAAGCGAGCGATGAAGTTCTCGATGAACGAGCAGTACAAGAAGCTCTTCACCAACGCCAGCGGCCAGCTCAGCGGTCCGGGCCACGTCGCCGCGGGCGGCTGCGCCGGTATGACCGAAGCCCTGGTCAACTGCCCCTTCGAGCTGGTCAAGGTCCGCATGCAGGCGCGGTCCAACGCGGGCCTGTACAAGAACACCTGGCACGCGGCGCGGTCCGTCATCCAGACCGAGGGCGCGTTGACGCTCTACCGCGGCTTCGGCTCGATGCTGTGGCGCAACGGCGTGTGGAACGGTGCCTACTTCGGCATCATCCAGCAGGTCAAGCGCCTGCTGCCCGTGTGGTCGTCGGAGCGCGGCCAGCTGGCCACCAACTTCACCGCCGGCACCATATCCGGCCTCATCGCCACCATGCTCAACACCCCGTTCGACGTGGTCAAGTCGCGCATCCAGAACACGCTGCCGGGACAGCCGCGGCGCTACACCTACACCCTGCCCGCCCTGGCCACCGTTGCGCGCGAGGAGGGCTTTGCTGCGCTCTACAAGGGCTTCGTGCCCAAAGTCCTTAGACTCGCCCCCGGCGGTGGTATCATGTTGGTATGTCTACCACCACACCAAAAAACAGGAGTCGCGTTTGATACCGAGAGAGAGAGAGAGAGAGAGTGAGAGCCCAAGCACTCATGCCTGTTTTCTTTTCTCCGTGATGACCAGGTTGCCTTCGACTTCTTCGCTCGCATTCTCTGAGATGGTGAACAACAACAACAACTTGTGGATCACGTGTGCTGGCCAGACAGGAAAAAAATAAATCACGACTGCCGACGGTCACGCACGTCCAAAACGAGTTACAGCCAAGAACGAACTGATAACAGTAATCCAGCAGTACTCTGTTTTTTTGGCATATTAGGAATATGCTCCCTCTATTCCTAATCCCAACCACCTACCCTCGCGAAAAGGCATCGTCACGCGTCTGGCTCGCACCTTTTCTCATTTTTGAAATTGCCATCGGCCGCTTATTCGCCGCAATGGAGCCGCCACGTTCAACGGTCGACAAAAAGTCTGTGGGCACGAAAAGTCCGGTTTTGCGGGTACAAAGCCGGGGCCGGAAGGCGCCGTTTAGTTCTTCCGTCGCACAGTACTGCCCTCAACAGTATCACCCCTCCGCCTCGGTTTCGGATCTTGTCCATCTCCTCTCCTCAATCTCTTCTTCAGACAAATCTCCTTTCCATCAATCAAGATGAGACCCTCCACCCACCACCAGAGCACGTTCAAGGTCGCCAGCGACAAGGTCAAGTACAACGAGGAGCACATTGAGGCCGAGTACGAGTACCAGACCACCGTCGTGGAGGTCAAGGATGGTGAGGCCATCGTCAAGCCCGTCGCCAAGTCCTACACCTTCCGCACCCAGCGCGATGTGGGCCGCGTCGGTACCATGATCGTCGGCCTCGGCGGCAACAACGGTACCACCGTCGTGGCCGGAATCATCGCCAATCGCGAGGGCATCACCTGGCGCACCAACAAGGGCGTCCAGACCCCCAACTACTGGGGCTCCGTGACCCAGGCCTCGACCCTCCGCCTCGGCTCCGATGCCGCCGGCGATGATGTCTACATCCCCTTCCACTCGGTCCTGCCGATGGTGGACCCCAACGAGCTGGTGGTCTCGGGCTGGGACATTTCGGGCCAGAATCTGGCGGAGGCGATGGAGCGCGCGCAGGTGCTGCCATACGATCTCCAGCGCCAGCTGGTGCCGCTGATGAAGGACATGAAGCCGCTGCCGTCCATCTACGAGCCGGACTTCATCGCCGCCAACCAGGCCGACCGCGCCGACAACCTCATCGAGGGCACCAAGGCCGACCAGCTGGCCAAGATCAGGAAGGACATTCGCGAGTTCAAGGAGGCCAACAAGCTCGACCGCGTCATCGTGCTGTGGTCGGCCAACACCGAGCGCTTCTGCGACGTCGCCACGGGCCTCAACGACACGGCCGACAACCTCATGGCCTCGATCAACAACAACGAGAAGGAGGTGTCGCCGTCGACCATCTTCGCCGTGGCCTCGATCCTCGAGGGCGCTCCCTACATCAACGGTTCGCCCCAGAACACCTTCGTGCCCGGCGTCGTCGAGCTCGCCCAGCGCCACAACGTCTCCATCGCCGGTGACGATTTCAAGACCGGTCAGACCAAGATGAAGTCCGTCATGGTCGACTGGCTCATCGGTGCCGGTATCAAGCCCGTGTCGATCGTCTCCTACAACCATCTCGGTAACAACGATGGCAAGAACCTGTCGGCCCCCTCGCAGTTCCGCTCCAAGGAGATCTCCAAGTCCAACGTCGTCGATGACATGGTCGCCTCCAACCAGATCCTCTACGAGGCCGACGAGCACCCCGACCACGTCGTCGTGATCAAGTACGTGCCCTACGTCGGCGACTCCAAGCGCGCCCTCGACGAGTACACCTCGCGCATCTTCCTCGGCGGCCACAACACCATCGCCATGCACAACACCTGCGAGGATTCGCTCCTGGCCGCCCCGCTCATCATCGATCTCATCATCCTCATGGAGCTCATGGAGCGTATCGCCGTCAAGGAGACCTCCAACGAGAAGGACGAGTTCGAGAAGTTCCACCCCGTCCAGTCCATCCTCTCCTACCTCCTCAAGGCCCCCGTCGTGCCCGCCGGTACCCCCGTCGTCAACGCCCTCATGAAGCAGCGCGCCGCCATGGAGAACCTCTTCCGCGCCTGCGTCGGCCTGCCCCCCGAGAACAACATGCTGCTCGAGTGCAAGCTCCGTGAGCGTCCTACTTTCTAAGCTCCTCTTCACCTCCGTCCATCAATCTCTATCATCAATCTCCCACCTTTCTCTCCTCTCTCTTTACTTCTTCACAACCTCTTCCATCCTCCCCCATATTCACCTCCAAACTCTATGAGTGTACACAACAACAACATGCAACGGCGACGACCCGCCAACCTGAGTTCTTTTACAACACATAAAAACCAAAGCTTTTGTGCAAACCACCCGCTTCTTCTTGCATGCGCGACCGTGTGGTCTCTGCTGCGGTGGAGACGGCGTTGTCACCTTCACCTTCTCTGGCGCGTTGTAGTTGCGCTTTGGCGCTATACCTATGCGGCAAAACCAAGCCCGCAAAGTCACCACGCAAGAAGGCGCGGCACTGGCACGCCAGGTGAGCACAGAGCTGACGCAACCCCTTCCTGGAGACCATAAGTACTTCTCCGGTGGAGGGAATGGCGTGCTTCACAAACTGGACCGGCAGGTCGGGAATACGAAGATCCGCTTCTTGTGGGTGTCTTCAGTTCGAAGTTGTACAATCAACGCGTTGTGTAGCGTGGCGCAGACTCGCCCACACTGCCGAAAGGGTGTGCAGTAAACCTCGGCTGGCACTGCCGCAATGAACTCCCCTTGGCCTGCACCACGAGGCGCTTATTTTATGTTAGATAATAAAAACAAAAGGCCAAAAAGGAAAGAGTAATTCGAGTAAAACCCCAGAAGCAAAAGGAGACAACTTGCGATCGGTCGATTTGCTGGGAGCTGGAGAGGGGAGAGAAGAAGCCAAACCAAGCAAGATGAACAGGTGGCGAGTCACGATGAGGAGCTTTGGAACGTGGAGCAATATGATGATGAGGCAGGCGGAAGGGTGGGAAGCCAAGATGCGGCGCACGTGGTACAATGCCAGCGCAGCAGCCAACGCCTTCCTCTATGGCTCACCCACAGAGCGACCTGCCCAGATCCCTTTCATGGCACGCCCCCCCACTCGCGCACGTGCAGATTTTTAAATGCAATTTCAATTTCTCGATTATTAATCTCTAAATTGTGATCTGATTTTTCTTATCATTTACTCCCCTTGATGCTCTACGCCCCGTGCCAACTTGTGCACAACTTCCCCTCGACTCTTTCTCTGCGAATAATAAAACGATTATTATCCGCTACGGGCAGAGTGTGAAGTGTCACACGCTGCTATCTCACGACTCTTCGTCCTCTCCCTGCTCATGTGCAGATCACCGCTGACATGAAGCAGCAGCTCGCCGACCTGGTACGTGTTTCTCCCTCCGTGCTCGTGTTTCTCCCTCCTTGGCCGACTTTCTTTCTCTCTGTGTGGTGTGTGTGCGCGTTGTGCGTGCTACAGGGCTACAAGCAAGATGAAGTGCGACACCTCACGCCCTCGCAGGCCGTAGAGATCATTACGGCGGGCCGGCCACCTACGCCACGTCCGATCTCTGCCGCCTCCTCTACACCCACCATCGCCACCACTTCATCCTTCTCCTTTCCCTCCTCCTCATCTACACCCGCCTCCGCCTCAGTTTCGTCGCCCGAGGTGGCGCTCGACGCGTCCGGCCGAACCCGAGAATCGGCCGACACGGTGCTCCTCTACAGCCTCGCCGTCGCCGCGCCGCGAGTCGCGGCCGACCGGCCGTCACCATCATCAACAACGTCATTGGCTTCGTCATCGTCTGGTGTCACTGCCCCACCACCACCCACCACATCAAAGAGCATCCCGACACCCACCGCCATCACCGCCATTGCCCTCACCGGCCTCCCTCCGTCCTCTACGTAGAGAGAGACTCGAAGCCAATAGAAGAAGAACGCCGCAACAACAACATTGGATTTCTCTTTCTTATTTCCTGCACCAATTTGATTTATTTATTTTTCTATTTGTTTTTGGCGGTGTTGATCGATTAGATTCTAAAACAGCAAATCAATTGAAAAAAAAGAAAAATGAGACGCAGCACGTCGTTGGCGAGGTCGTTTGGTGGGGCTGCCTCCTCCCGACCCTTCCTCCTCTCTTCCACAAGGTCGACGGCGCTTTACACCCGCCGGGCGTACGCCGATGACGCCCATGTGCCCACCCCCACCGCTGCGGATGTCAAGACCGAACCGGAGAGATTGAGGACCTTCACGCGCGCCGACGTGGCCAAGCACGCCTACGAGGACGATTGCTGGGTCATTATCAACAACAAGGTCTACAATGTTTCGCAATGGGCCGACATTCACCCCGGCGGCAGCGCTATTATCCACGCTGTACCCCCCCCCAATCCACCTTCCCATTTGAATTAATTCTCTTGCGCTTTTTTTCATTCTTGCCATTCATTTCGCAACGTTGCTACTCGTTGATCTAATCGAGTCTAATCTATTCATGGCCTTGTGCAGCACGCTGGAGGTGACGCGACCGACCTCTGGGTGGAGGTGGGCCACACGCCCCGTGCGCGAGCGCTGATGGAGCGGTACTGCATCGGCAAGGTGGCCGAGCCCAAGCGCTACATGGGCGCGTCGTACGGCGCCATGGACCTCGACGAGAGCGGCTACGCGCTCCCCGAGGGCACCCCCAAGGAGGACATCCTCGAAGACGCCTCCAGCTACCGCTACAGCACTCGCTGACCGAACACACACAACACACACGCGGGACACTTCGTGCGTGTCGTTCCCCGCAACAGTACACATAAACAAACACTTTGCGTCTTCATCATCATGGCGTGCGTGTGCGGTGGCGCTGATGTTGAGAAGTTGATGACGATGGATGGAGGTGAATGTACAATCGGTCAGCCTTCTACATCCATGGGTTCGGGCGGGTGGACGGTGGTTTCGACTTGGAAGGGAGTAGAGTCAGAAGAGGAGGCGGAAGAGGGAGAAGAGGCAGCGGGAGCAGCCGGGGCGGCCGGTGGCGCCTCACGCGTCGCCGCGGCGAACGCTGCGGCGTTGGTCGCCACCGTTTCGTTGTAATCGGCCGGGGCCAAGGTCGGGATGATGCCGCTCACCGCAAACATCTGCGTAGGATAGAAGATGATGATGGTGATGATGATGAGTACTGATGGGTTGATGTTGGGACCACTGGGCCTCCCAGGGGGTGAGAGATGAAGTGAAGGGCATCGGAGCGAAGAAGAGAGAGAGAGAGCGAGAGCGAGAGCGAGAGAGTGCACGACGAGGACCAACTCAATCCCCCACAAACAGACAGATGTCGAAGTGAAGGAAATGTAGAGAGCACGGCGAGGAAGAAGGAGTACGGGAGAAGGAGGGAGGAGACGGCGCGCACCTTCTCGATGGCGTTGGTGAACTTGTTGGTCGAGGTGTAGAGCCTGGGCTCGTCCGTGAGCAGCTCGCACAGCCTCTGGAGTGTGAATGGTGGCCTACAGTGCATAGCACGCGTGAGATTGGCGGCTGCCCTGAGGGGCTCAGAGGACGAAGGCCACATACCCAACGAATGACTCGAGGGAACGCACGATCTGCGCACAGCGCTCGTTAATCGAGGCTGCGTCCTGACCCGTGAGGCCCTCCTTTGTGATGAATTCACCAATGACCTGTTGGCAAGGCGATTAAAAACCATTTAACTGCTTCATTTTGCTGATTTGGACGTACCTGTTTAATCACAAATCCAAGCAAGACTCGAAGATGCTCCCAAGAGTAGCTGAATGGCAAGAAGGTGAGATGGAGTGATGATTGTGGGGGGGGGGCAAGAAACTGTAGCTGCGCGTACCAGGAGAGGCCGGTAATGGACACATTTCGCAGCAGTGTCTTAAGGTCATCCGTCAACGCCTTCTCATTTGCCTCAACAAAAGCTGCAATGAGATGGAAAAAAATAAAAAATTAAGGCCAAATTATCAAATACCACCAGCAGATCTTGCCAAACGTAGGCATTACCAGCCAAGCTTCGGGCAAGGGCGTCCGAGTAGGTATCCGCTGGCACCACAGCTTCCGTTTCCGGCGGATTCATTTCGATTACGGTGACCTTGGCCAAAAAATGCGGATAATCTGATCCTTCGCCCACCTGGCCTCGTTGCGCTTTTTGCCGCCCTTTTCTTTTTCGTATTCTCTGCTGCCCAGCAACCGGCACTGCCCCCCCCCGCACACTCACACAACAAGAAACAGTCCAGCGTAGAATAGAATATATATATTTTTTATATAACGCTGTTTGTAGCTAAGTGGTGTGAATAGGTCCTATGTTGGCCTTGCCCCATTCTCTCTCCCCCTCTCTCTCTTCTCTCTCTTGGTCGATCCTTTACAGCTCATCGTGCTCATCGTCCTCCTCGCCGTCCAAATCCACGTCCACACCACCATCATCCTCGTCCTCGGCCTCGGCCTCGGCCTCCGTGGCCTTCTTGGCGGGCTCGGCAGCGGCGGGCGCGGCGAGGTCCTCGATGACGGCCTCGGGGAGGTCGAGCGAGGTGGAGATCATGCGGAGGACGCGGGTGACGAACGAGGCCGGCTGGTCGATGTTGTAGCCCGACGAGATGGCGGCGGTGTCGAGGAGGAGGGTGGCGACGTCCTTGGCGGTGGGGTCGGTGGCGTCGGCGGTGACGAGGCGGTTGAGCTCGAGCACGATCGGGTGGCGCGGGTTGATCTCGAGCACCTTCTTGCCGGCCCACATGCGGGACTTGGGGTCGTCCTTGGAGGAAAGGGCCTGGGCGCGCATGACCTTCTCCATCTGGGCCGTGTGGCCCCAGGACTCGGCGACGAGGGCGCAGGGGGAGCGGGAGAGGCGGTTGGAGACCTTGACGCGGGAGATCTTGGAGGAGAAGGTCTTCTTGAGGTAGGTGATGACCTCCTTGAGGTCTTCCTCGTGGTCCTTGTCCTCGTCCTCCTCGCCGGGGAGCTTGACGCCCTCCTTGGCCAGGTTCACGAGCTTGTACTTGTCGTACTTGGGCAGGTTCTGGAAGGTGTACTCGTCGATGGGGTCGACGGCAAAGAGCACCTCGTAGCCCTTCTCGGTGAGCTTCTCGAGGAGCGGCGAGGTCTTGAGGGCCTCGACGCTGTCGCCCGAGAGGTAGTAGATGTCCTCCTGGCCCTCCTTCATCCTGGCGACGTAGTCATCGAACGAGGTGTTCTCGCCGGTGGTGGACGACAGGTAGCGGAGCAGCTTGGCGAGGCGAGCCCTGTTGCCGCTGTCCTCGATCACGCCGAGCTTGATGTTGGTGCCGTAGCTCTTCCAGAACTTGGCGTACTTGGCCTTCTCCTCGGCAGTCTCGGCATCTCCGAGCTGCTGGAACATGGCGATGGTCTTCCTCACCAGCTTGTTACGGATCACCTCCTATTCATCGACACACCCACCAAAAGCTGTGAGCGGACGGCTGTGTGTCCGGTGGTTGTGGACGGGCGGAGGAGTGCGTACAAGGGCCTTGTGCTCCTGAAGGGTCTCGCGCGAAAGGTTGAGCGGGAGATCGTCGGAATCGACCACACCGCGCAGGAAAGCGAGGTACTTGGGCAGGAGCGCGTCGAGCTCCTCGGTAATGAAGACGCGCCTGACGTAGAGCTTGACGCCCTTCTGGCGAGCGGCGCTATCGAACTGGGAGTACGGGGGAGCCTCGGGCAGGAACATGATGGCCTTGAAGGCACCGTTGTCACCCTCGGCGGTGAAGTGGATGTAGGAGAGAGGGGGCCTGTCCTCCCTGGTGACGGCCTTGAAGAAGTTTTCGTACTCCTACCAATCGCACGAGTCCGGCGCACGTGAGTGCAGTTCCTCATAATGAATAACGACGATGGCAAGGGAAAGAACAGAAGGCATGAGTGTACCTCGTCCTCGATGTCATCCTTCCTCCTGGTCCAGATAGGCTGCTTGTCGTTGATCCTCTCCCAGTCCCAAACGAGCTCGGGGATGGTCTCCTTGACTACCTTCTTCTCCTCGTCGTCCTCGGTTTCCTCGTCGTCGTCAGTGTCGACTTCGGCCTCCTCGTCCTCGGCGTCGTCTTCGGCCTCCTCCTTCACGGGCACGCGCTCGACGTGGCTCTCCCACAGGAAGATGGGGAACGAGATGAAGTCCGAGTAGCGGATGATGAGATCGCGGAGCTTGTCCGACTTGAGGAAGGTCTGCGTGTCGGCGTCCTTCTTGAGGTGCATGGTGATTGAGGTACCACGGCCGAGGGTGTTGCCGCGCGGGTCCTTGACGATGGAGTAGTTAGAGTCGGCGGTCGACTCCCAGATCCACTGGTCGGCATCGTCGTTGGACTTGGACACCACCACGACGCGATCGGCGACGAGGAAGGCCGAGTAGAAGCCGACGCCGAACTGACCGATGAGGTTCGACGAGGCGTCCTTGCTGCCCAACATCTCGGCGAACTGCTTGGTACCCGAGTGGGCGATGGTGCCCAGGTTCTGCACCAGCTCCGCCTTGGTCATGCCCACGCCAGTGTCGGAAATGGTGAGGGTACCATCCTCGGCGTTGGATTGCACCTACATAGAGAGCAAGTGGTCGAGAGCACAAGCCAGGACGGTGAGCGTCAAGGCCAGACAGTCGGCAGGTAAAGAAGCGAGCTGGCGTACCCTGATCTCGAGCTCCTTCTTGGCGTCGAGCTTGGTCGCGTCGGTAAGAGACTGAAGACGGATCTTGTCGAGGGCATCAGAAGCGTTGGAGATCAACTCACGAAGGAACACCTCGCGGTTGGTATAGACGTTGTTGATGATGATGTTCATGATGCGGCTAACGTCGGACTGGAACTCGAACTTCTCCTTGGTCTGCTCAAGGAGCTTGAGTTCTTCCTCAGTGTAGGCAGGCGAAGGCGCGATCGAGCGCTCCTCCCTCTGCGCGACGTCATCGTCCGTCTTCAGTGCAACCTTCTCGGCCTTGAGATCGGCCGTGAGGAGGGCCTCACCATCTGTAGAAACCTCAGCCGAAGCGCCAACACGCGGGGCGAGCAACACTGCAGCATAACAAACGCCATAGGCGTCAGCACGGCATTAATCGTTGAAAATTAATCGCGCTACGCGAAAGATGAATGAGCGAATTGGGGAACGGAGGCTCGTACGTGCAGAGACGAGAGCGGCAACGAGAAGGAAAGGAAGCAGGCGGGCTGCTTGCTGAAGCGACAGCAACATGGTGTCGGTCACTGCTGTCCTGTGTGCGAGTGTGCTCTGTGACGACTACTGAGCTGCGACCTCGTGCTGCCTCCACTTTGCTCTCTCCTTCTGGCCACCCGGCATCTCGCCATTGGGCCACGCCAGCCACTTCCCAGATTCTGAAATTTCCAGCGCCCGACCGCCAAATTTCGCAAAACTCCTGACCTCATGAAGGGGAAGGCAGGGGCGCAGAAGAACAAGCCCTTGCGAGGAAGGCAAGCGTAGATCAAAACTGTCTTTGTTTTGGGGGGTTTAGCTAGGGGCGGAGGCTCTTCCGCGCCGCACTATAAACAAGAGAGGTGGGGAGGGTTGGAGGATTGGCTGGAGGAATGTCGGTTGTTGGTTGTTGTTGGGGGGTGGCTGGTTGTCTACTTCTTGATGTCGGCGTCGGGGGTGTCGTCCTCCTTGTTCTCGGTGCTGCTGCTGCTGCCGCTGTCGTTGGACGAGGCCTTCTGCTTGTAGGCCGACTCGAAGGCCTTGAGGGACTCGCGCTGGAGCGAATCGGCGCCGGACTTGATGGCCTGGTGGTCGTCGGCCGACTCCAAGGTCTTCCTGAGCTCGGTGATCTGCTCGCGCAGACGCTCGGCCTCGGTCTGGTCGACGTGCTCCTTGAACTCGTTGAGGTTCTTCTCGATGTCGTAGATGACGGACTCGGCGTGGTTGCGGGCCTCGGTCTGGTCCTTGCGCTTGCGGTCCTCCTCCTCGTGGGTCTCGGCGTCCTTGACCATGCGGTCGATCTCCGACTCAGAGAGACCGCCGGAGGACTGGATGCGGATGGCCTGCTCCTTGCCGGTGGCCTTGTCGCGGGCGGAGACGTTGACGATGCCGTTGGCGTCGATGTCGAAGGTGACCTCGACCTGGGGCACGCCCTTGGGGGCGGGCGGGATGCCGGAGAGGATGAAGGAGCCAAGGGTCTTGTTGTCGTTGGCCATGTGGCGCTCTCCCTGGAGGACCTTGATCTCGACCTCGGTCTGGCCGTCGGCGGCGGTGGAGAAGACCTGGGACTTCTTGGTGGGGATGGTGGTGTTCCTGGTGATGAGCTTGGTGCACACGCCACCGAGAGTCTCAATGCCGAGCGAGAGAGGCGTCACGTCGAGCAGCAGGAGCTGCTTGACGTCACCCTTGAGCACGCCAGCCTGGATGGCGGCACCGACGGCGACGGCCTCATCGGGGTTGACACCCTTGCTGGGCTGCTTGCCGTAGAACTGCTTGACGACCTCCTGGACCTTGGGCATACGGGTCATGCCGCCGACGAGCAGGACGTTGTTGATGTCGGACTTGTCGAGGCCGGCATCCTTGAGGCAGGACTTGCAGGGATCGATGGTGCGCTGGACGAGGGGATCGACGAGCGACTCGAACTGGGCGCGGGTGAGCTTGATGTGGAGGTGCTTGGGACCCTCAGCGGTGGCAGTGATGAAGGGCAAGTTGATCTCGGTCGACACGGTGGAAGAGAGCTCGCACTTGGCCTTCTCGGCGGCCTCCTTCAGCCTCTGGAGAGCGAGCTTGTCCTTGGAGAGATCGATGCCCTCGGCCTTCTTGAACTCGCCCACGAGGTGCTGCATGAGAGTGTTATCGAAATCCTCACCGCCGAGGAAAGTATCACTGCAAGACGAACAAAAAAGAAGCGCGATTAGGGAATGAAATTGAGATGCGGTGTCACACAAACGAATTCCGCAGATCATTAGCGAGAAAGAGGGCAATAGAGAAGAGGAAAGCGCGTACCCGTTGGTGGCCTTCACCTCGAAGACACCCTCCTTGGAGATTTCGAGAATGGAGATATCGAAGGTACCACCACCGAGATCGTAGACGGCGACGGTCTCGCCACCCTTGTTGGTAAGACCGTAGGCGAGGGCGGCGGCAGTGGGCTCGTTGATGATACGCTCAACCTGGAGACCGGCGATCTTGCCGGCGTCCTTGGTGGCCTGACGCTGAGAATCGTTGAAGTAGGCGGGCACGGTGATGACGGCCTTCTTGACCTGGGTGCCGAGGTAGCCCTCCGCGGTCTCCTTCATCTTGGTGAGGGTGAAGGCGCTGATCTCGCTGGGCGAGTACTTCTTGCCCCAGCTGTCCTCGAGCCAGGCATCGCCGTTCGAGTGACGGACAATCTTGTAGGGCACCATCTTGAGATCCTTCTGGGTCATCGGGTCGTTGAAATCGCGGCCGATGAGACGCTTGACGGCGAAGAAGGTGTTGGTGGGGTTGGTCACGGCCTGACGCTTGGCAGTGGCGCCGACCAGACGGTTGGTGCCGTGGTCGTCCTTGACGAAGGCCACCACCGAGGGAGTGGTGCGCTCACCCTCCGAGTTCTCGATCACGCGAGGCGTAGAGCCCTCCATGATGGCCACGCACGAGTTGGTGGTACCGAGATCGATACCGATGATGTGATCACCGCTCTTGGCACTGTTAAAGTGGGGAGGATCACGTTAGCAATCTGCTCGAGAGAGGAGTGTAGCGCGCCGGCATCTTGATAAAGCAGCGATTCAGTGGTAAAGATGAAAAATTTGTGGATGACGATGCGTACGAGTAGAGCCTGGCAGCGGCAGGGGCGTTCCATGAGCTCCTCAGGAAGGAGGCAGCAGAGACCGGGGCACGACGAGTGGCAGCAACGCGGCGGAGCATCGTGATGCTTGTGTTGTGTAGTGAGAGGGTTGAGATCTAAAGATTCGTGCCGGACCCGGAAGAGCGCAAATAACTGCTGGAGGCTCCGCTTTTCCAGGTATGTCAAGCTCCTCGGATATTTCCGTCCACACCCCGCCGTTCCGCGCGAGCGAAATAAAAGCGAAATCTTACGAATAAACGGTCATCCGTTCGCCATGGCGTTTGTTTTTTATTTTTTAATGCAAAATATTACTACTGATAAATGCACGCTCTTATAGTCCATCATTTCAAATAAAACGATTATCTGTGTTCCCTACACCACCAGGCTGATTATTTTTGGTTTATTTGTTTGGGCAAGAGGACGGGGGCAATCAGGGCCGTGTCCTGTACTCCTGCGGGGGAGGAAGAGGATTCTCGGGGTGGCGGAGAGCCATGCGCAGCTGGCGCGGGTGGTAGTAGACCTCCTGCACGCTGCCGCCGTTCTTCTCGATAGCCTCACGAGCCGCCTGGGAGACCTTCGACACCTGAAGTCGAATTCAACAGTAAGCCACCATGACACGCCATTCGCAAGGCGCACATCCACACAACGATGGCGGCCGCTGGCACTCAAGGGATGACGAAGTGAGGTACCTCGAGGTCCAGCTTGGCCGCAAAGAATTCGGATCCGCCAGCGAGCAACTTGATGCCCTTCTCGTAGGACTTGGTGAGCTTGGAGGAAAGGCCCGACTGCTGGAGGGTGGCCATCGTGATCTTGCCCTCGGGGCTCAGGCGGCCAGCATCGATCCACTGCTGCAGCTGGCCCAGGTTGATACCCACGAACTCGGAGCGGAACCTGCCGACGCGTAGAAAGCCAGCGAGGTGAGCGTCTTGGCTTCGACACGAAGACCAAGTGTGCATCGTTCGAGAGAACGAGGGACACAACAGCGCGCGCTGGGGGAGATGAACGAGGAGGTGTACATGGCGTTGGTGAAGCCGTGCTTACGAACACGCTTGTAGAGCGGCGTCTGACCACCCTCGAAGCCTGGGCTCACCTTGCCACGACCGCGGGCCTTCTGACCCTTTGTGCCCCGACCACACTGCTTGCCCTTGCTCGAACCCGTACCTCGACCAACCTTGCGTGCCTGCACATCAATCCATTGACGTCAGTTGCGCTGCTGGCGGCAAATCTTGGGCGAAGCTGACAAAATCGTTCGACTGACAAATTGGCGAAGGGATTCAGAGGCATCCTGGGGGGGGGGGGTGACGGCACCTTCTTGTGGGCACCAGGATTGTCGGCAATTTTGTTGAGTGCGATGGAGAATGGATCAAAGGGCTCGAGCTCGCGCTGAGCCTCGAGCTCCAACTTACGGGTGAGATAGGGCAGACCGCCGCCCAGATACGACGTAGGGCTGCTGCTCCTCACGCCCTTTCGCGCCCGCGTGGCGTAGGCGCGGGCCATCGATGTCGAATTGCAGCTGGCGAGCGCGGCAGCCCATGCGGAAGAAGATGGCCGCAGAGGCGAGGCAGCAGCCAAATTGAACGTAGAGCGGAGGTTCATCACACCGCCGGAGCAGCTGAATGGGGTCGAGAATCGCCTCATCTTCCGGCCTCCAAGACAATCTTTCGATAATTCGATAATTCGATATTTGATTTTTCGTTTTACGCTTTGTTTATTTTTATTTTCTTTGTCCGCCATGACCGGCGTCGAACCCGAGCCCAGCCGAAAGCCCCACCGCAGAGCACCGAATTTTCAAGAGTCAAGCCACACTGCACCCCGTTCCAGTGCTTCGATGACCGTGAACTGGGCCGGCTTCCACGAACTTGCACAAGGGCCTAATATGGTGCGCATGGTATCCCCCCACTTTCCCCGTCTCTCTCTGGCGCGTGTTGCTCACACACGCACGATTGCCTGATTCACGGGTGAGGACAGGCTCACAACTCCACACCGACACCACTACTATCGACTCCGTGATGGCCGCGCGTGCACTGGCCTCGGTCATGCTGGGCGGTGGCATGAAGCTGGGCCGGAAGGACAAGACCAAGTCGAAAGAGGCCAAGGCCAAGGCCAAGGAGACCAAGGACAAGGTGACCAAGGGCGGCAAGGCCAAGGAGGCCGAACAGCAGCAGCTGCAGCACGACGCGTCGTGTCCGCTCCATGTGCCCGTCTCCCGGCCGCAAGGCCTACGCGGCTCGCTCACCCCTCTGCTGGGCCGCCGAAGAAAGAAGAACGTCGTGATCCATCGGCCTGGGGTCGAGGAATGCACCTGCAGTCATCGCCCCGCGGGAGATCAGCTCCTGCGTCCCACCCCAGTACGACCGCAGCCTCTATCAAGCGGTCGAGCCAGCAGCGCCACCAGCTGCAGCAGCGAGACTGGAGGTACTGATGACAACGATGACGACGAAGATGGCAGTGACGATGAGGGGCAGCGACGAGTGGGAGGCACGATGGGACAGCGGTATCCGCCCGGCTTCGACGCCCGCTTGCGGGCCGCCACCCCGCCACCTGCTCCTTCGGGCTCTCAAATTGTTCGAAGCGATGTGGCCACTTCTTCCGACAGCTACGAGGAGAGCGAAGATAGCGAAGAAAGCGAAAGCGAAAGCGAAGAAAGCGACGAGGAAAGCGACGAACACAGACGAGGAAGGAGGCGAGGGGAGTGGGCTGAGGGCAGTACCGAAGAGGAAGACGAAGAGGAAGACCGGTACTACATCCGCACTGAGGGCAACCGGTACCTGCCCTCTCGGTTGGGCAAGGGCCTGGAGGTCGAAGAAGAGGAGAGGGAGCACGACGACGACGACGACGACGACGACGAAGATGACGAGGAAGGAGAAGAAGAGTACTCCGACGCCCATGAGAAGCCCACGGCCGCCATTGTTCGGCATCTCCTGGGTGCGCTTTACCTCTCAACCAATCACAAGCCATTTGGGTTTTATTTGACCAATGGCCGTGCAGACCAAGTGCTGCGAGACGAAAAGCCGGTGGGGGCGTTGGTCGCCATGTTGCGTGTGTACGCCAAAGACCCCGAAGTCCAGGCCGACGTCTGCCTCGCCCTCGCCCAGCTCGTGCCTCACCGTACCGACCGCTCTCTCCAGGCCCGCTCTCTCTTTTGATTGATTGCTCACCCCTCAGCCCACCTTTCAAGGCAAGCACACGGTCAAGATGGTCGAGGAGGGCGGGATCGGGTGCGTAGCCAACACCATGCGCAACCACCGGCTCGACCCGCACGTACAGGAGCGCGCCAGTCTTGTCCTCCACAACCTCGCCGCCAACCGTGCGCATTCCCCCCCCCTCTCTGTGATCGAGTTCGTCCTAACCGTGAGGGAATGGACTGACCGTGAGGGCCGTGAGCAGCCGTGTACAGGGCGGCGGTTGTGGAAGAGGGCGGGATACGGGGTCTGGTGGCCGCCATGCGGACCTTCCCCGACCGGGCCAACCTCATCCTCCACGCCTGCTCTTGTCTCCTCAACCTCGCCCTGGCCAATGGTATGTGACACGAATCTCTTTTACAAGTTTCGGCCGAAGCTGTGGAGCTCTCAGACCTGATTGGGTGTTTTGCCAATCGTTGTGGCAGATGTGAACCGGGTGGCCATCATCGAGAAGGGCGGCATACCGTGTCTGCTCAAGGCCATGCGCAAGCACCCCGACGACGCCCTGCTCCTGGAGAAGGTGTGCGCCACCCTGCGCAACCTCTCGGCCCACGGTGCGCCGCACACTCCACTCTTCGTCATCACTTGTGAAGACTTCCTAACGAAGGTTGCCACAGAGGTGGGCCGGCAGCGCATTCGGGAGGAGACGGGCATCGAACACGTGCTGGACGCGATGAGGTCGCTCCTCAAGTCGGCCCCGTTCCAGATCCAGGCCACCGCCGTCCTGTGGAACCTGGCGCTCGACTGTACGACTTCTCTCATGATTGTGAGACCTGCAAAGGTGTGGCGCTGCGCTGACGCCGGGAGGACAGACGCGAACCGGATCGTGATCGGGCGCAACGGCGGAATTGAGACCCTGCTACGGACGCTCGAGGCCCATCCCTACAACCCCGAGCTGTGCCACATCGCCTTCGGCGCCCTCTCCAACATCGCCATCAACAGTGCGCACCACCACCACCGACCCTTCGCTTGAATCCAACTAAACTAACCAATGTGAGCAATGGCAGACGCCAACAAGAACCGGGTGATCAAGGCGGGCGGGGTGGAGGTGGTGCTCAACGGCCTCCGCAAGCACGGCAACCGGGCCGATGTCACCGAACGCGCCTGCGCGCTCATCCAAAACATTGCGGTCTTCGGTACGCCCCTTTGCACTACTCAGCCCATTCACTCCCCCCCCCACTGTCTAATCACCGCCCCATCGTGCAGCGCGTGGACGCGTGAAGCTGGTGAAGCAGGGCGGGAGCACCTGCCTGATCGTCGCCATGCGCAGCCACCCCACCCACGTCGGTACGCCCCCGCCTCACAAACAGCATCGTTTATTTTCAATCACTGATGGCCGTCTTCACAGGAATCCTCCAGCGAGCCACTGGCGCCCTCTGGAATCTGGCCTTGGACAGTACAGCCTCCCCAGCCCCCACCCGCCAAGGCTCTGGCCTGACAGTGTCGTGTCGTGTCGTGTCGTGTCGTGTCGTGTCGTGTCGTGTGCGTTGCGTTGTGGTGGTGCAGGTGCAAACAGGAGTGTGATCGTCAAGGGCGGGGGCCGGGAGTGCGTGGAGGCGGCGGCTCAGTTGCCCGAGGTGGAGACGATCGCGCGGAAGACGCTCAAGATGCTGGACGGGGAGATGATGGCGCTCATGGTCGACGCCGCGCTCCCCAAGGGCCTCAAGAAGCTGGCCCACATCGACCCGCTGGGCCTGTCGTCCAACGGCAACAAGACCCGGCAGAAGAAGAAGAACACCGTGACCGCCGACGATCACAAGGAGAAGAGGCCCGAGGCAGCGACCGTGATTGAAGGGCAGGAGGAGGGCGAAAGCGGGGAGGCCTACAGTGATGACCACTACGATCAGGGAAGCGGGGATCGTGGCGAAAGCGAGGAAGACGACGACGAAGATGACGAGGAAAGCAGTGACGAGTGAATGGGTGGTGGTACCAAAAGAATGCGGAAAAAAACATAAAAGAAAAGAATTGAGAAAAACAAGTACAGGCTGGTGATGATGTAGCGGTTGAAGAAGGGGGCAGAGGAAGAAGTAGAGAGAGAGGGTGCACAACGCGTGCGGGTGTGTGCGTGCGTGCGAGGCTCTCTAGAGGAGGACGTAGCCGTTGCTGGGCTTGCCGTGTAGCTGTCTCTTGGAGTAGTAGCCCTCGAGCACCTTGTCCTTGGGCAGCTTGTGGAGCTCGCCCGTGGCCGGGTCGAGCTGGTTGACGTAGAGGAACTGGGGCTTCTCGCGCAGGAAGTCGGGCAAGCTCTTGTTGGACGATATGTCCTCGGGCTTGACGAGGTAGTGCTTCACCCGCTCGTAGGGGTCGTCGTCCACGTAGGCCACCGCGAAGAGGCCCGGGTGGTTCTCGCTGAAGCGGATCACGAACGTGCCGATCTCCTCGTTCTTCAGGATCTCCGTGCAGGCGTTCTTCGTGATGAAGCCGTAGATCAACCTGCACGACACGACACACGACACACGCAATACACGACGATTAGTGGTCTGGCGCGTGTAGGAAGAAGAAGAGGAAGAAGAAGAGTGTGCGTGCGTACCCGACAAACCACATGTTGGCGATGTGCCGCTTGAACCGAAGCGTCTGCACGACCTGGCCGAACCACGACCAGAACCGACCCGCTTGCTGCTGTGTGACATTGAGCTGACCGCCTGTGTAGCCGCACAACCAAGCGACGGCGACGATGAAGATGATGGCGATGAGTACATGAGAAGAGGAAGAGCACGGTGGGGGCGGCGATGGCGGTGATGATTGCGCACCAAAGAATTTGTAGTGGATGTACTGGAACTCGCCGTGGTTGAGTCGCCGCTGGGGTCGCCCCGGGTCCTGTCTGGTGGCCTTGAGGAAATGGGTGTGCGTCACGTTGGCCAGGTGCTGCCACGGAATCTCGGTCTGGTATGATAGAACACGCACCACGTTAGTTGTGCGTGTCGTGTCGTGTCGTGTCGTGTCGCTTACCTGGCCTCCAAAGGCTTCGAAGAGGAGCAGCTTGCCGGCGGCGTCGCACCACTGGCTCTCGTTGGTGATGACGATGATCGGGCTCGAGCCGGCGCTCTCGATCGTGTGCGTGCCGCCGTTCTGGAGCGTGACCTGCACGGCGAACTTGAGGTAGACCATCGACATGCGCGTCGAGACGTTGAGCTTGATGTTGTGGAACGTGAGGACGCGCTTCATCGAGTCCATGGCCTGCACGTCGTTCTCGATCGGCTTCTTGTTCTTCCAGTTCTTCTCCTCGGCCACCAGGATGGCCTTGACCTTGCTGATGTTCTGAATGTTCACGTTCGAGCCCGACAGCAGCGCCAGCACGTAGTTGTCCTCCAGCGTCTTGCCCTTGAACAGCACTTGTGGCGTCGGCTGGTCCGTCAACATGAGCGCCGCGATACTGGTGTGCACGCCCGCAACGATTAGTCAACCGAGCGCGTGTGTCGTGTCGTGTCGTGCGGTGCTGCGTGTGTCGTGTCGTGTGCCGTGTGCGATGAGAGTGAAAGTGAGGGTGCTGATGATGGTGGTAGTACCAGGGAGGTGAGTGGGGGTTGAGCACGAGCTGCAGCTCCTGGCGGAAGAGTTCGATCTTCTGCTGCTGGATCTTGAGCCGCTGGAGGAGCATGCGCAGCTGGTGGAGCGCGGGCGGATCGAGGATGACCGAGCGGTGCAGGCCCTGGAGCTCCTTGAGCTCGAGCTCGATCTGCTGGTTGAGCTTCCACTGCTGCTCCTGGAGCTGCCGCACGCCCTCCTTCTGCGGCTGCAGCACGAGCTGCTGCTGTATCTGTCGGATCTGCTCGATGTGCTGGTCCTGCGTGGCGAAGAGCTGCTGGACCTGGTCGATCACCATGCGGGCCTTGGCCTGGTCCTGCGAGATGGCGGGGAGCGGGACATGGGCGGCGGCGGGGCGGGCCTGCTGTCGGGGCTCGGCGGCGGCCTGCTGGTGGTGCTGGTGCTGTTGGCCTTGTTGTTGGAAGTGGGCCGGATCGACGGTGCGGGCGACGGCGTCTTCATCTTTAACCTGGACGGCGGGGGCCATGGCGCCATGCGCTGCCTCGGGCAGCACGAAGCCTCCAGGATTGGTGGAGCCGAGCATTCCATCGTCATCATCATCCAGGTAGTACTCGCTGGTATCGAAGGCTGGTTGCCTGTTGGTTTATTAATTGTTATAATAATCTAAATTAAGATCTTGATAGGGGCTCACAAGAGCTCAAGATTTACTCGATTAAATCGAGGGTATTGTTAAATCAACGATTAATCGTTGTGCCCTTTTGTACGTACTCAAGTTGGCTGTAGAGCGTATCGAGCACGTCATCTGTAAGCTCCTTCCAGAACTCATTCCCAAACTCGGGGTTCATCTCATCGAGGTCCGTCTCCTCCATGTTTAATCTGGCCACAGTTGAACTATAGCCACAAACGTGCGCAGAATGCGGATCGATTGGCACAACAAAATGCGAACCCCCCAAGCTTCGCGCGTGGGAATTTTCCTGGTAATGACCAGACTGACATTCCTGACAAATACCACACATTGCCGCAAGGCACGTGAACAAGATGGTTTACACTGTGGAGATGAAGATGGTGATGGCTACGAGTGCAGCGAAGGCATATGTACAGTGTGCATTGATGCTGCATGTAAATGGGCTGGGGCTGAGCTTGTGGTGTCAGGGTGGCCTTGGTGTCAGTTGTTGAGGACAAGGCACATGGGTGGTGAGGTGATCTGGCCAGCTGATATGGAGAGCAAGATGGGCAGGCCTGAGGTGCCCATGACATTGCACCACTGGTTGTGCAAGAGTTCACACAGCTGGCCTACCATGTGAAGGACTGCCACATGAGCTCCAGCAGCAGCTTCATTGCTACCCCTGCTTTGCCTGCACAGTCACATGTGACACAACACAACACAACAGGAAGGAGGAGATATCCTTATTGAAGCTGCTGCTGGAGGCCACTGGTTTGCACTTGATCCACTGCTTTGCCCTCTGCTCTGTGTCCTCCTCATCTTCATCTTCATCATCCACCAGATTGATCACTGTCACCATCACCTCAGACCTTGCAGCTTCTACATGTACCCACTTGCTCATAAGCACAGTTTGTGTCATGCATGTATGTCAGTGGGCAGGCAATACCTGGAGGGTCAAGGTGGCACTGAAGCATGTTGAAGAACTTGGCCATAAGGAACTGCACCTCAAGCTTCTTGATGAACTCACCCACAATGTAGGCAGACAGGTTGAAGCATTGGCCAGTGGTGGTTGGACCCACACCCACAGAGTGCTCAATGCCAAATGAGTCCTTCTTATTGGGTATTATTATTTCTTATGCTGCACTGCTTGACCCGTTTGTGACTGGTGTGCCTTGGGCCATAGTGGATGATACTTTGCTCACAGTCCTGAGGCGCGCCCAGTACAGCTCCAATACAATGGTGCCTGCAGCTTTGTTCTTTGTGGCAGTGTCCAGGTTTACCTCACCCTCATCAGCATCATCACCACTGTTGTTGTCATCATGGCTGCCAGGGGCAGCAGTCTTGTGGAACACAAACAGCTGTATGCACATCATTCCCTCCACATCAGTTCCAATCCTCATGCCTGAGATGACTGTGTCTAGAGACTTTGGCAATGAAACTTTGGGAAAAGGTGAAGGGAGATGAGGCTGTATGTCCACTGTTAAAGCTCTGAGAGAGTACATACACAAGTCTGCTTTCTGACCATCTACCATGATGGCTACACTAAGGGGGTACCTGTTGGGAGGGGCGAGCGCAGTGAACTGGACGGAGAAGGGTGTGTCTTCGTTGGGCACCTCCATGTACCACCATCTCGCTGCGATTCCAATGCTCTGGGGTAGAGCGACTATTTTTCGGCCGAATATGTTTTGGCGCCATTTTTATTTTGTCGACATCGAGCGTGACCGACTGCGCGACTCTTAGTAGTAGTCCGGGTCGTAGAAGGGATACTCCATTTCGGCGTGGGGCCGGACGAGGTCTTTCTGCGCGAGGTCGTGCCACAGGTGGCAGGTCAGGGCGCACTTGGCCTTCTCCTGAAGCGAGAGGAAGGAGAACACGTGCGACACCAACTCCACGGGCATCGGGTAGGGGAACACCTACGCCACCACACCACCATACCAAACCTCATCAGTCGCTCACACCGCACGCCACCAGAAGACACGCAGACACGCACACGTCACACACGCGCCACACGACATAGTGACACGCACCTTGACGATGGCTCGCGGGTTGTACAACAGCGCCTGTCTTCTGTCGGCCTGGGCCATGTCGTCTTTGTCCGTCAGCTGGAAGGCCGTGGCGCGCGTGGAGAAAGCCTGCTCATTGGCAACCCCGTGGTCGATTGCCTGGCTCAGATCGTCGATGGCCCGGTCCAGGTTATCCAGGTAAAAGTGGCACAGGCCGCGATTGGCGATCGCCGTGTACTGGGGCACCACTGCTGATTGGTTTGGGATGGTTGCTTGGTCGGTTGCAATTGATGAATACTTAAGGCCATTGTGATTAACTTGGCGTACCAGATTGGGCCAGGCCGGCGGCGGTGGTGAAGAGCACGATGGCCTGCTCGTACTGCGAGTCATGGTACAACGCGAGTCCCTTGCAGTTGTACAGTTCCGCCAGGGTGGGCACGGTGGTCGCAGCCGCCGGCAGCACCTTCTTCTTACCTCTCGATTGGCACTTGAGATGCGACTCGTTGAACGCTGCGGTACATTTCTGATGCACGCTCGCCTTCGTGAAGCCAGATACGTTAGTTGAGAGCACCACAGACTGACGAACAACACAACACACCACACGGCGCGGAGCAGAAACGACCAGCGGTGATGAATGTACCTTGCAGCGGGAGCAGTGGAGGCCCTGCTTGGTGAGTCCGAGAAGAGGCAGTCGGCACTGTGAGCACAGCGTGGGCACGTGAAAGTCGATCAAGCGCAAACAGTGCGCCTCTATGGTGAACAAGTAGGGTAGCCCACAGGGCGTCAGCCATATTGTCTAGACTGGGACCGGTCCACGTGACGTTGGACGAGTTGGGTACCGGGGCTGGTGCGGCAAAGCCTATGATAGTGCTGGCGGCAATTCGTGTGTATCGTTGACTGGCACTCCGCACACTCGTAGCCTACAAAGACACGGCACACGGCACACGCGACACACACCACACATCACATACGTGAGATGACGGGTGATGCGGGGGAAGATCAGGGGAGGTGGACCTTGATTGCGGAAGCCGACCAGTAACTTGCTGCAGTGGTCGCAGAACGTGGGCTTCCTAAAGGTCTGCACGCCGTACTTATGCCCAACCGTCGCCGCCGGCGAATGATTGCCTCCGTGAGCGCGCTGCAAGGGTTCCTCCTCGCTCGGCTCTTCTTCCTCTTCGGCTTCATCATCCTTGCTGTTGCCTTCTACTTCGTTGTCAGTCTTCGAGGCCAGGAGGGCGTCGATAGCGTGGGCGAAGGCCTCGGCCGCCTCGGCCCAGCGGCCCAGGCGGTCGAGCGCCAGACCCAGCACGTAGAGGGCCTCCACGCTGGCCACACTCCCGCGCCCGCCACTCAGCCCCACCGACTGCTGGGCATCGCGCACCACCTCCTCCATCTCCGCCTGCTCCACCACCTTCCTGGCCTTGTTCTCCTCTTCTTCAAGAAGTGCATCCTCTTCAACTAGTTGACCACCCCCGCCCCCCAAGTAGCGAGAAGCCGCCCCCCTCCTGATCTGGCCACGTAGCGCCCCACGCATTCCACGCATTCCAACGGTGGGCCGCGAGCGGTAGCTGGGTACGGACAGGGCGGCAAAGGTGGTCTGGGCGCGCTGGAGGTAGAGGCGCGGGTTGGCGGGGTCGGCCGCGATGGCGTTGGCGAGCACGTCGGGGTGGAGGAAGTGGTCGAGCTGTTTGCCCGCCTCGTTGGAGGCCAGCCTGCCCGCGGTGTAGGCTGCGCCCGAGGCGGCGGCGACACCGCTCACAGTCTTCTCGGCCGCGTTCACCACGATGGCACCCCCGATGAGGGGAATCGCCAGCCACAAGGGAAGCGGTCCCATGCCTCCGCCACACATGTTGCTGTTTGGTTTGTTTGACCGCCTTTCTTGTTCTGTGAAGAATGGCAGTGGCAACGACAGAGGACTTGAAAGAAAATTTATGTTTCAAATAAGACATTATTTCTTATTTGAAACATAAATTCCGAATTCATATAATTATTGGAAGAAAAAAGCAACTCAAAAAATCGTGGTTTGCCGAAGGATTAGCTAGAGATGGAGAGAAGAGGAGGAGCAGCGTTCTTCGTCCGCGGTGGTGCTGGGGCGCTTGCCTTGTGCACCGAACTGCAACGTAATCCGCCCACGCCTACCCGAGCCACAGACGAGATCCAAGTCGATCTCGCCGTGCTTCTCAATGGCACCACGCCTTGCGATTGCATCTACATCTCCCAGGCTGCTGTTGAGACTCACCACGTATGCCCTCCTCATACGTGCCCCTCTTGCTAGTTTTGAGATTTTGCTGATTATCTATCTTGCTCCCCATTGAGAAGCACAGCTGCCGACAAGACCAGGATGGTACGTGGAGGTGCCCGACGAGGACACGCCCTTCTCTGTCCAGTTCACAGTATTCCCCCCTCCCAACTCACCCCCCCTGTGCGCCAACGTAATGGTAGATGGTCAAAAAGCGGAATCTTGTACGTCCTTTTGCCGCCTCACATGCTTGCCGTTGAGGCCTCATCATCCATTCATTCACCTTTCCCCCCTCCCCCCCAAAGATGCTGCGACAAGGATGCATGAAGTGGCCACCTCGGGCATAAGGATTGGGACCGACGCCGCGGGAAGGAAGCTCATACAGCCGTTCATGTTCTGCAAGGCCAACCGCGAATACAACGACAACCAGAGCGATGACGATGACGGTGAAGGCGAAGACGACACCGCCACGAAGAAGAACAAGGCCGCAGGCACCATCGCGTTGGAGCTGTGCCAGACGCGCCCCGTCCTCTCAGGATCGACCACAAAGCTGATGGCCGGGTACGCGTTCACGCCGCGCAGCGTCGTGCCAGATAAGAAGGAGTCGTTCGGGATTGAGCGCTCCGTGGGCCTGGGTGCGACCACCACCGGCGACCACTTCCGCTTGGCCAACTACACCGCGGGCGAGTTCATCGAGAAGCTCGAGGTGCGGTACCGCACGGCCAAGTTCTTCCACATGCTTCAGTGCCGCATCGACCCCCAAGGTATTGCCCCTCGGCACCACACACCCAACACCACACATGCTGCAATGTGCTTACAACTGCATTGTAGAAGTCAAGCGGGCTGAGGGTCCGGTGGCGGTGATCGATCTGGTGGATGACGATGAAGATGAGGAGGACACGGAGCGGAGGGCAAAGAAGCGGATCAAGCTGGAACTAGCGGCCCCCAGCACGCCAGCGCTCGGGAACGACGCCACCGCCGACACCTTTTTGTGCCGCCTTGCTGCGTACGTACTCCCCACCCTGGCTTTGCCTGCATAGTCGCACACGCACACGCACACCCCAACGCCGTTGCAGGTTGCACATGACTAACACGGCACGACACGCACGACACACATGCAGGAAGGAGGCGATGGAGATGTCTTCGCTCAAGCCGCTGCTGCTGGAGCTCATCCAGCGGAACCTCACCACGGTAGGCCAGCTGCGCGAGCTCTCGCGCGCCCAGTGGCGCGACGTCATGCGCGCCTCGGGCCTGCCCGCCTCGCTCTCCATATCGGCCGGCCAGATCGCCTCGCCGCCCGTGTGCCTCGTCCTCGACGACTGACGCAGCCACGAGGCCACCCCGACACCACAAGCGCAGCTCATCGGCGGCTTGCCAACCACACACTGTACAGAAACTAAATATAAATATAAATAACAAGATACAAGGACAAAGTACGTGTACATGATTTTTTTATATTGATCTCATAATCAGTTTGATGTTAGCGTCGATCCTGGTCATTCGATGGCGATGCAGGCTGCGGGATGGCGCGGTGGTGGCAGGGAGCGGTTGGCCAGCTTCATGGCCGACTTGGCGAGCGAGGCGGGCAGACCGGCCGAACGCACGACCTCGCACCACTGCGGCCGCGTCAGCCGGCGCAGGTGCGCCACCTTCGCCATTCCATGCCTTCGCAATTCCGCCAGCAGGCGACCCAGCGACCCCGGCTCCACGTTCTCCTTCCTGCTTGGCTTCCCCAATCAGTTCACTCAACTCACTCCAGTGCACCGGTGTGTGTGTGTGTATGTGGGTGTGTGTGTGCGTGTGTGTGTGTGTGCGTGCGTGCACGCGCGTGCGTGACTGTCGCACCTGGCCAGACGGCCGACGAAGGCCTTGACGGATGAGTGGCTGTCGAGTGCTGGCTGAGGCTCTCTCTCGGGCTTGATGGCCTGCTTGTTGTCCTCCTGGCACTCTGTGGCCGAACTGGTGGCGTCGATCAGGCTCTGGAGGTTGGCGAAGAACTTGCGCTTGCGGTACCGGAGCCGCACCTGCGCCAGGATGGACCCCGCTGGGCGGTAGGGCGTGGGACCCCACCCGTTGTCCCCTACCGCCGAGCCCAGGGCCACCTCCAGGTCGGCCGCGCCCATGGCCTCCTTCTTATCGCTCGCGCCTGGGATCGTGGGCGCTTCAGCGGGCGCCACCGCGGCTGGCGGCCGGGTGCGGTGGTCGATGACGGCAGGCAGCACGTAGAAGTGGATGGATCCCACCGGTCCCATGATGTCACGCGCGCTGCTCCTGAGTCGGGGGTCATCCACCACTTCGCCCTCCGAGGCCGATTCCTCACCACCACCGCGCGGTGCCTCCATGCGACGCAGTAGGAAGGGCCGCACAATCCCTGAGCCTCCCTCCTGCAACGTGACGCAGCCCTTCACCTCCACCGGCTCTGGCGTGCGAACAATGACTGGTCGTCGCCCACGCATGTCAAGCTTTACGCTGGTGGTTGGGGGGTGAAGGGAAAGGCGAGGGTGGTCAGGGGTCGTACTGCGGCTGGACAGGTGGCCGTCGACGAACACCACGCAACAGAGCGGAAAGTTGCGCGGGCTGGGCGGCTCGACCGACAGTCGAACCGACAGCGGCTGGTCCTCTTCGGTGTCGTCAGGGACTTCCACGTACCAGCCCGATGGCACATGCAGCTGGGCCACAACATGGATGTTCGTAGGAGTTTATATGTTGTCCACGCCATCCCGTGCTATGTTGTATACTGATACGTTATTGGGGGGGGGGAACTACGTGATGTAGGGCCACTGCGGCTTCAGAGATGTAGATGCTGTCGCACGGCGTGTTGTTAACGAGGACGGAGAGCGTCGCCTGAAGTCTCCTGCCGGCTGGGGGCAGGGGCGGGTTCCGCTGCAGCACGTGGGACCTCTCGAGCGCATTGTCGGGGTCAGCGGGCAGGGAGTAGGTGGGTCTCGTCGGCATCTGCTGCATCTCCATGACCACAAGCGTCCAGTGTAGAGTGCTCTCTCTTTCTCGTGCGTTTTTTTTTGTTTGTTGATTGACTTTCCACCGAAACCAAAATTCTTGGACTTTTGTCGATGTGTTCGGCCGAAGATGAAGTTTGACCTTTTTTATTCGTCGATGATGACGAACTCGGTGGGTGGTGGCGGGCTGGCCAGCTTCATGGCCGACCGGGCCAGGGACACGGGCATGCCCGCCGCGTGCATGATCTCCCGCCACTGGGTGCGCGTCAAGCTCTGCAGCTGGTGCGCCGTGTACACCCCGCGGCCAGCCAGCTCGCTCAACAGCGGCTGCAGCGCTGCGGCGGGTATCTCCTCTTTCCTGTTCGTCATCAGGCCACCGTCAGCACACGCACCACCGCACACTTACCACCGCACACGACGCGCGCAAGGGGTAGTGGTACCGGGCGAGCCGGCACACGAAGCTGGTGAATGTGCTGGGCGCGTCCAGTTGTTCGTGTTTGATATGACCGCTGCTTTGTGGCTCCTCTTCCTCACGCGAACCGTCCCGCGCTCCTAGGAGAGGAGAAGGTCAGCGCCAGGTTCTCTATGAAGTGCGCGTGTGCGGCGTGTGCGGTACGGGTTGGAGCTCGCTACCTCGTGACCTGATGTGGCCTCGGATGATGTCGAAGAACCGGCGGGTGCGGTAGTGAAGCTTGAGCTCGACCAGGAGCCGACCGCGCAGGAGGGCGCAGACCACCCACCGGCGGTTGGTCCGATAGGGCGTGCCCACGGTCACCGCGCGATCGACAAAGGCCGACTTCTTCTCCGGGTCCACGCTGTGCTGGACGAACGTGGCCGGGTCCTGGCTGTAGGGGCTGCGGCAGCCCCTCATCTTTCGCGGAGCCGCCTCCCACGCGCGCAGTATGATGGTGCCGACGCTTCCATCGCTGTCGGTGCGGCTGCTGCTACTACTGGCGGTCGTGGTGTCGGACTCAGCCGACGACGGGTCTGCAAACTGGGCCTTCTGCAGCTTGAAGGGCTGGACGTGGGCGTTGAGCGACCCCTGCTGCTCGCACCAGAAGCCGTGGTCCGTCCTCGGCGTCGCGTCCTTCAGTTCCCCTGTGCGTTGTGTCGTGGTGTGTGTCGTGTGTCGTGTGTCGTGTGTCGTGTGTCGTGGTGTGTCGTGAGTGCGCATTCGGCTGGGTGAGTGGGGCGAGGAGGTCGTACAGCGGCAGGCCTGCTGGCCGTCGACGAAGACCTTGCTGACGGCGGGGTAGTTGGGCAAGCTGAAGGCATGGCGCACCGAGAACTCAACGTCCTCCTCGTCTGGCACTTCTACATACCATCCGGCGGGGGTGGGCAGCTGCATCAATCAGATGCAGATCTCATCAATCCTACAAATCAATCAGTTGCCATGCGTCGACGGCTGCGCGGGAGATGTAGATGCAGTCGCACATCCTGCCGTTGATTAACACCTCAAGGGTCGCTTGTGCTTCCTCTCCCAGGCCATCGACAGCAAGCGAGGGAAGTGGAGGGTTTCGGTGGGGCACCGTGGCCCTCGTTAGCTCGTTGTCCTCCCCGTCGTGCACCATAAACGCCACCCCTTTGTTGGCATGCACAATCTCTTCCATCTCCCTCTCCCGCTCTATTGATTACAGAAAAATAAATAATATTGTTGCTTTTCGTGTAGAGCCTCCTCGAGATGTTGTGTTGTTTGATTTGTTTGTGTTAGACCTCGAGGCCCTGTTCAACAAGCAGCTCCTCCAGCCGCTTGGGCGAGATGTTGATGTTGCCGATGTGCTGGAACAGCGCCGTCTCGTCCATGTCCTGCCCACGCCAAGACAAGAAGAGCACAACGTCAGAGATAAAGAGGGGCCAAGGTAGTTGTAGTTGTAGTTTCGTACCTGCGGCAGGTGGGTGAGGAGCTGCAGGCACTCGTCAAAGGTGCCGTTCTCGAGCTGAGGGGCAAGATAGGAGAGGACCCCAGCGATCGTGGAGTAGAGGAAGATGTCGCCGCGCAGGAAGTAGTTGTCCCACACTCGCGTCGCAATGTCCAGCGGCAGTGCCTAACGAAGAGCAACACACACGACACACGACACACGACACACAACATGGCACGCGACACACACGACAGAGCGAGGATTAGTGACAGCTAAGAAACAGTAAGTGGTGGCGGAGGTGTTCGTCAAACAACATACTTTACAGAAGAGGGTGAGGATCCAGTCCATTATGTACAGATCGGTGGAGATGTCCAGGCTGCGGAGGTGGTTGTGAACTCGCGGAATGTGGTCGGCCATGATCGCGTCCAGCACGCGCACGTACTTGCTGATGTGCGTCATATCCATCCGATAGAAGCACACCTGCGCGCCATGTGTGTGTCGTGTGTGTGTGTGTGTGTGTGTGTGTGTGTGTGTGTGTGTGTGTGTGTGTGTGTGTGTGTGTGTGTGTGTGGTTCGTCAGGACTCAGTGATGGCTTGAATGAGAGCAAGACGTGTACCAGTATAGGAGAGTTGAGCAGGTTGGCGAGGCAGCAGAAGGCCGGAAAGGTGTCCATGTAGAGGAGCATCACCGCGGCCAGGTAGGACATGCCCTGCACGTAGCCGATGTCGGGCCGGTAGCACACGTAGGCCTCCAGCACCTGGCCCAGCGGGCCGTGCGAGGGACCGCCGACTTGGAAGAAGCTGAGGCAGGGGAAGGTGCGGGGCAGGTCGAGCGGGATGAGGCTCACGGTGTTCTCCTTGCCTATCACCCAAATGCTGTCGTCTTCCTGATCGCAATCTGTAGGTGTCATCGACGTTGTGTGTGTCGTGTTGTGTGTGTGTGTGTGTGTGCGTGTGTTGTGTGCGTGTGTGTTAGACACAAGAAAGATAAATCGTCGATCGGCCGATCGGCCGATCGTACCACAACAAACGCACCTGCGTCTGTTTGTGCCCCCGGGCCTTCGAGCTCGCTACTCGGCGTCGGCTCGTCGCCAGCGCCGCTTTCACACGATTCGTCCTCCTCTCCCTCCTCGTCTTCGTTCCCCTCCTTGCCCTGGCCCTTGACCACGGTGTCGCCTTTTGGGTGGATTGAGGGAAGGGGGGGGGTAAACACAAACAACCGCCTCACATGTGAGCTGCTGCGCCCACAAGCGCGCTCTCGGGGGGGGGGGAGTCCACGGCGGTGTACCGTATTTCTGTTTGAAGGCCTTGAGGAAGGCCTCGTCCTGCTCCTTTCGCTTTCGCTTCTCCTCCTCCTTGGCTCGCTGGCTCTTGGTCTCCAAAATCTGAAACAGCTCTGTGCGAGGCGTGTGCGTGTGCGTCTCAGGTGGTCAGATGAGGCCAGGCAAGAGGAAACACTAATAATAATAACAATAACAATAATAATGCGATCGTAAAAAGGCGAGGACTTGCCTGCGGTGATCTGGAGGTTGTTGGACAGTTCAAGCATCCACACTTGGCCGCGCACGGATGGAGGAACGCCCTGCCACACCAAATCCGATATCCGCCTCGTCCCCTTTCTGATTGAGGTCACGCACACGACACTTGTTAGCATTTTGCTCTTCACACACACACACGCACGCACGCACACACACACACACACACACACACACACACACACACACACACACACACACTACAC